CTTAATAAACGATAGATCCGATAGGCAGAGTTCCTAGCCGAATTCAATTTCCATATTCAGTATATAAAAGGGAGCGAAAATAGTCGCGTAGACGCACTTAGCCGACTAGGGACACCTAACGAATCACCTAAACCGTAAGCTATACTCTAATAGGAAGGAGAAGCTCTTACTCTAAAGGATAGAGAGGTAAATAGTATTAATCGGATAACTGATACTATATTTAAAGAAGTATACGCCTCGCCGATACATAGATATCAAGGAATTTATAAAATATACCACCGATTACGCTAATAATACGGCTACACAGGAACTAAAGAATAAGTCAGGGACTTTATTCGTAACTACGATATTTACTAGAAAGTAAAGAGTAGCCGATATAAACCTTACGGACTACTAAAGCCACTACTAGTAGTAGACGGACTATGGAAATCGATTATAATAGACTTCGTGACAGGATTTCCAGTATCTAAAGATCCAGTAACAGGAACTGCCTACGATAGTATATTCGTGATTATCGACCGATTCACGAAATACACTCTTTATATTCTATATATTAAAAACACTATAGCAGAAGAACTAGTAAGTATCTTTATCGACCGCCTAATCAGGGATCACGGCGCACTAAACGAAATTATTACGGATAGAGATAAGCTCTTTACTAATAACTTCTAGAAAGCAGTTATAAGCTAGCTAGGAACGAAACATAAGTATTCGACAGTATTTCACCCTATAACGGACGGACAAACCGAAATCATAAACTAAGTCCTAGAATAGTACCTACGATACTATATAGAGTACGAATAAGATAATTAGGTATAATACCTACCACTTATATAGTTTATATATAATAGCTCGTTAAATAAGTTAATAAAGAAAATACCGTTCGAAGTAAATTACGGATATATACCGATAGTATTTAGAAAACCTTTAGAAGGACTAGACGCACTAAGAGCGATAAAAACAGTTAAAAGCATAAAAAAACCACACGAAGAACTACGAACCGACCTAGAGATAGTCAGAACACGAATAAGCAGGTACGCGAATTAATTAAGGATTAAGGGACTAACCCTTTTAAGGGGGGACCGCGTTTACCTTATTCGCAAAAACATCAGAATATAACGACTAAGCGATAAATTGGATTTTAAAAAATTAGGACCGTTTAAAATCCTAGAGAAAAAATCAGATACGAACTATATTCTATCACTACCTCCGATAATAAGGATATATAATAATTTCCATATTTCACTACTTAAACCAGCACCGAAAAACGTAAAAATAATATAAAACACGATCGTGGTCGATACTAGCGATATATATAAAGCAGAACGAATCCTCGACTACTAAGAGACGCTAGACGGCACCGAATATTTTATAAAATAGGAAAACTACGACCACGGCGATAATATATAGAAACCCAAAGAAAACCTGATTAATTACAAGTAACTCCTAAAGCAATACTGACAGAACACTATCAGGACCCAGAACCGGACGCCGCGGTCTACGCAAAATTAATATCCAGAAAATCACCTATATCCTGCGATAGGATCAGATTCCAGTTAATCATATTAACCGTACCCGCCACCCGCGTATCGACCACTGCTTCGGACTCCTCGCGATCCGCCGCCTCTAAAGCATCAAAGGACTTAAGGCCATAGGCCACTATAGTTATACCCTTAGAACGAAGAGACTCCCTCTAATGACGGATTCAGGCCAGACAGGCTAAAGACTCAGAAACTTCCTTCTATACCTTCTCTAACGCGCGATAAGTAGATAGAAGGGAAGCCTCGGTTACCTCCTCCTCCGTTTTAAGACGCTCTATTTCCTTATTAATACGTGTTACTGGGGAGAGCGGTTAGTAAGAAGAAACGGCTCGCGGAGAACAGGAAGACACCTACGAGAAGATAAAAGGACACCTAAACTATCGCACGAGCGACCACGATAAATATATTCCCTATAATAAAAGATACTCTCGATTATAAGGTACCGGAAGCCTTTCGACTCGTAAAAGGAATAAGGTATAACTTCTACTCTAGAAAGCTTAATAGTACGCGATAACTTAATTTAATACTATATCTTATAAAAAAGCTACGATTTCTATATACGACCGGATATAATAGTTAGCTATAAGAGAAAAGAAGAAAACCCGGGGGGTTATAAACCCGGGGTAGGCGACCTATTTATATAACCGCTAGGATAGCGCTTAGAAGGGGGAAGGTAATATTACGGCTAGTAGACCTAATATACACTAAGGATATACTAGTTATAACGTACTAGGGCGGTTAGTATACTAGGACGTAACTAGAAGATAACTTAGGACGATATTATATACCGGGTTACGTGATAGATAACCGGTATAGTATACACCCGTATAGGGAACCTATTAGTATAGGAGAATCACTAGGATCACTAGGGGTCACTTAGTCCGAGAAGTGATCCGGCGTGATCCCGAACCAGGAGATCACCAGGACACCCGTAATCCCGTAGATATATATACCAGCATATCCTAGGTCTTACTTCTGTTAGAGAACAAGACATCGATCAATCTAAGTCTTCACCTAGACCATTAGTCTACGCTCGACTCTACCTTATGAAGAAGACGCCTAGTCTTTACGACGTAACTACGACCAGACACTACGAACGACAGTTACTGCTCTTTAGTTAACATCCTCTTCTTATTTTAAACTAAAACCCCGACGCTAATCCCCTATCGTCCGTTATACTATAGAGGGCCGGAAGCCGTCATAGCAATATCTTATAAGGCCTCCTCGTTATAGGAGGGATAGCCTTTACGGATATATTACTATAAGGGCGCTTCTTATTATTATCGTTATTAGCAGTGGCCTTAGTATTAGGGAGGTTCCTAAGGGTATTAAAGGTATCTCTTCTAACTCTAGGCTTTATAGCGGTGGATTATAGGCTCTTTATATTACTAAGAACCGCTAGTAGAGCCTTTACGAAGTCGTTAATCGTTAGTTTATTTTCCGTAATCTTATCGTAGTTATTTACTAGGTAGTTATTACTCTATTCCTAGATAATAAGTCTAACGGCTTGTAACGCGTCTTCTACCTAATAGTCCGCGCTTAATAGTTCTAAAACGCCTATATATTTACAGTGTATTATCGATATTGTCTAGCTTACCACCTAAGCGTCTATATCCTTAGGTATAGCCTTTATAGGCGTGGTGTATTATCTGTATAGGACTAGGGCTTCCTTACAGAGGTCTATAGATATCGGTCTAACGTACGCGTGTAGGAGAGTAATCTAGGCCCGCGGGTTATTTACGGTATTATCCTATAGCTAGGCGAGGAGGTTATATAACGTAGTATATATAGTCCTTTCGATATAAGAGTATACCTTATTAAACTCTTTCTACTATGCGTTATAGTCTGCCTTTTCCTCGCGGTATATACGGCGATCTTATAGGTAGCGTGTACGCCCCTTTTTAGAGAGGTTATTAATAGACGTGGGCGTCCTAGTCGTTAGTTCTTTCGTTATAGCCGTAGCTTTCCGGCGAGCGGCCGTCTTCCTCTTACCGGCGGCCGTGGCCGCCGTGGTAGCGGCCGTGGCGGCGGCGTCCGTGGTATCCGTAGCCTTATCGCCCTTTAGCGTGATAGTGGAAGACGGAGTAGCCGTGACGGTAATAGCTATAGCCTCCTCCGTGTTAGGGTCCGCGGTAAGGGCTTCGTATTTACGAATATTAGGGGGTATAGATATAAGGAGGAGATAGGCGTTAGCCTTCTTATCGCTTAGCTTTAGATTAAGGTAGCTATCCTAGTAGGAGGCCGATTTACCGTGTACGGTGTGCTCCTAAACTACCTAATCCCTTTAATTAACGAGGGTAGTAGCGGGCGCCTTTTATTCGGCGTTAGATACGTTAGCAGATATCTTTACTAGATTATTATTTATCGGTTAGTTAATAAATAGGTAGGTTAATTAATCTCTTAATTACTCTAATTAGATTAATAGTAGTTATTTAAGAGTACTTATATAGACGTGATTATTTCTTTATAGTAGAATAGGGGTAGCCTTATTAATATCTATCGTTTAGGCGTTATAAACCGGGCTTATAACTATCGCACGTTAAAATAGGCACTTAAATAATTAACTTAGTAGAGCAGAAATCTCGTGTGTGTGTATTATATCCAGTTATATCTAGGAGAGTCTTTATACCCTTAATTTAGGTAGTAAAGACTCTGTTATGGGTACTATATTATTTAGATCCTATCCGGTCTTTTCCGGTATCCACCCTTATTATATCCTGATACCCGAAGTCCCTGATATCCGGAGCCCTTAGTTATGGAGTGGATCCCCCCTGGATCCCCTATGGACCATATCGTGGTCCTGCCCATGCGACAATATCCACCTTCCGTGCCTGACCGCGTATTCGGCTATTAGGTTGTTCCACCCCGAGGGAGGTCTATGCGACAATCCGTGCCTGTTACGTAACCGTAAAAACTATGGTCTGTTAAAGGCGTATTAAATCTTATTTTCTATAGTAATTACCTCGAGAAAATATTCAAACCAACACCAACAAACACCCTTGTTCCGCATTCCATTTCCTGCCCAAGGTATGCAATCGCAAAAGACAGAAAATATTAACGCTGCTCAGTCCCATTAGGCAATGTATTTTCATTGTTCTTATCAAAGCAAGAGGCTGACGTTGTGGAATCTCTAAAGACTGTTTAGCGCGCTATCAAAGGGCTGGGTTTGCACGCGTTCCTTCGAAGCCTCGCGACGCGAGGCTCGTGTCCACCGACCGTGTTCTGTTCAACGACCTACAATACTGCCCATTCCGACCTCAAACAATCTTAACCGGGTGGGGCAGGCGGAAAGAAGGACAGGGAGCAAGTTAGAGCCCGAGAAGAAAGACGGTGCAGTCCTCTAGGCCAACTTGGACTGCCCTCGAGGAGTCTCTGTAGCCCTCCCTGGTTCCTATAGACTCCAGCAGCCTTCTGCTATCGCACAGACTACAACCACGCTCAGAAACCTCGCTCGATTTATGCTAGATGCCGACTATCTCGAGTCCTCCATAGATACCCCTTCGTATCCCTGACGTCGCGAAGTTCCTTTGCCTCCGACTACCACTCTCCCACCAAGGGAAACGACGATTCTCTGTTGCTAGCCGCCATTCATAGTATGACACATAATGTCGAGTTCGTCCCGCACCAGATACGCGCGGACGCCCGGAAAAGTGGCTGCTCCAGCCATGCCTGCGAAAGCGTGGACCCTGACCGTGGAGCTCGACAAGGAGACATACTGCCAGTACCGACCCGGCCGCAGGCGCCTGGCGCCCATCACGCTGCTTCCAACCCATGATAGCCAAGCAACGATTGTAGAAGAATATATTGTGCGACCTGAGAACTCTCGAGACGGTCAACCACATCGAGAATACCTGATCACCTGGCCCGACCTGCCGACGACGCGAATCACGGTCGACGCGGCGGAGATTCGAGACTACGTCTCGGCGCGGGAGTACGAGAGATGGAACGAGGTGCAAGCCGAGGCCCGCGAGCGCGCGGAGCTGGCCCAGGAAGAGGCCGAGAACGTGCGGGCGGTCGAAGAGGCACTGCGACGCGAACGCGAGGAAGAGCTGGCCAAGCGCGGTATACTGCTCCGCAGCGGCCTACTCGGGAGCTCGCGCGACAACTCGGTGGAGATGCACACACGATCTGCGTCGCGGGAGGGCCGAAGGGAGGAATATGCACCATCGAAAAAGAAAGGTCGGCCGAGTAAGAAGCGCCCGAACCTGTTGCAGACGGAGTCGTTTGGGACAGCAGTAACTGGGCAGGATTACATTGAAGACTCGGAAGCCGACGATGAGCATATTATTCGAGAGCAGCTGGAGGATCTGGGAGGATGGGACGACAGCAGAGCTCTCAACAGCGAATGCCTTTTGGCGATGGCGCGGGATGAGCTGACGCTTACGACGTCGGAGGCGGCGAGCCGCGCTTCTAGCAGACTGCGTCATCTAGAGCCGCCGCGGAAGAAGCAGAGGACCATATCTCCTGTGCCGCTCCAACTGGGCGGCCCTTCACGGCACCAACCGACGGACACATGGGCCTTTGCGCGGGGCGCGTCGGAAGCCGCACCACCATCGGAAAGCATACGGCGGCCAGCCAGGTCTTCCCCGACGCCGAGGGCACAGAAGAACCCTGGCCCCGGAACTCCTACGACATCCGGCCGACTATTAACAACAACTGTCTCAGCGCCGGCCAAGTCCTTGCGTGAAACCAGCCGTCAACCTGACGCCACGCCGAGGCCGAGATTTACGCCACTGGCCGTGAATAGCTCGCGGTGGACTACAGTCAGCAACCCATCGAAATCTGGCAAAACACCGACGCCAAAGCCGGCGGCTCAGGATTCCTCGTCAACACAAAAGCAACGGAGTAAAAAGAAGCCTACGCCCCGGGCGAAGCAATCTGACGCCGACGAGGCCGAAGGGAAGGACGAAGGAGGGGACGGCAACGAAGGCGATCCAGTATACGAGGTCGAGCGGCTGGAGGCGACCAAGGTGCTCATGATCGGTGGCGAACCGGTGCGGCATTTCCTGGTGCGGTGGAAAGGCGACTGGAGCCCGGACGAGAACCCCACGTGGGAACCCGAAGACAACATCCCGGCTGGCATGGCGCGGCGGTTCCTGAAGAAGGCAAAGGGGCTGGGCCTCGACGGGGCGAGCGACGCGCCTGGCGCATCAGCATCACGGGCCGGTCTCTGGACGCAGCGGAAGTGGTCGAGCGTGTCGGAGGCTTTCGCGGGGAACGTGGACGACGAGGAAGACGGCCACGGATCCGACAAGGCGAGCGAGCAGAGGGGGGATGATGGGTTCGTGGCCAAGACGGAGAAGGATGACGGGGATTACGGGGATGAGCTTCTCCTGGTCACGGATGATGGCTCGAACACGCTGGCGCCCATCTCGGGTCAAAGTGTTTTGAGTTGGGAATTGGCCATGGGACGGCGGTTCGGGGATGAGACTGGGATGGTGGGTTGATGATGATATATTAAGCCCATGAAGTCCACAACGGAAGAAGCCTTATTACTTTGTATTCTGGGCTTTGTGGTGCGTGGTGGCATTGGCATTGGCTTTGCTATTCTTTGTTTGCAGGGTTGTTCCGCATTCAGCCAACGCCTGGGAGTAGCCACCACCTCATTTATATTCACCTACATATATTGCATATGTATGACTTCGAGACGCCTGGAGGATCCATGCCGGGGGAAGGAGAAGGGGTCAAGAAGAGAGGGAGTGTGTAAATGAAGGGAGGCGGCAAACAGACATTGCCTTGGGCTGGGGCAAGCGGCATAAGCGGATGATGAAGAGCAACGGGGAATTCAAAACAGCGAACAACACTCAATGTTAGACAGCCAGCTCTCACATCATCCTTCATCCTTCATGTCATGCAATTAGCAATTCCCAATATTGCACGGGATTTGCGACGCAAAGGCCATTGGAAGAGGTGGAGATGAAGTTTAGGTCCTACTAATAACCCTACGACTCGACTACCTTACCTTTGGTATCTCTCCACAGCACGACAGCTGGCAGCACCCACTGGACCTTCCAGTACCGGCAGCGTGATAGGAAGCTCATTTCGGATTGGTGGACTCTTGTTATCGCTATTCGGAATGGGCAAGTACTTTCAAGTATCCGTACCGATACAGAGTGCATTACATATGTACTTACTTGGTCTGTAACTGGGCGAGTGGGTTTCTGGGGGTGGAGTAAAAGGGAGGAATAACCAATTGGACACGGACCCTTTCTGACAGGACAGGACTAAAGTCCCCCAGCGTCTGGCGCAGTGCTGTGTCGGTCCACTTCAGCCCAGACTGACGTAATCCAAGCGCATCGTTCAGTATAGGGAACCTATCGGATCCGGCAAACGGTGAGGGTGAAGGGTGAAGGGCACGTGTACGTTGTACCTTAGAGGTTAAGGTAGGCATGGCCAACAAAGCCACCACCCTGCCCTGTTCCTTTGGGTTGCCCATCTGGACGGGACATCTATTCCTTCTCTTTACCTTATTACGTACTTGTCCTTCTGTCTTCCCTCCCCCCCGGGTCAGATCTTCCGTTTCAATTCACACTTGATCATCCAACTCACCTGAGCACTAACAACTACCTTAACATTATTGTCCTTTATTACTCCCGTCCTGCAAAACAATACGACACGCCACGGATAGAGATAATAGGCCATAAACTCATGTGACGATACTCCTATTTACGCTTTTCTCCCATCCAACTATTTAGCCTTGCCTTTGCCTTTTTTCCACTCCCTTCCCTTCAACCCTCTTCTCACCGCAAAGTACTACCATCTGCGACCGCGACTCTTCCCTCCCAATAACTTCCAACCCGATGCGCCGACCGTCATATCTACACCTACGTGCCGCACCATCTATCAGTATCGACATCATCTGGCATAAATCCTCCACTTGCCGCATCGTCTAGGTCTATCATAGGTCTTGGAAGTTGTCGCAAAGCTAGACGCCGCCAACTTTCTTCTCCACATTGGCCCATCTCCCCATCTCCGTCGCGATAGACCGACTTAGCTTGGAAACGTCTTTTCCAAATTCACCATGAAGGTGCGCTGTCGCAAGGATACCGGTAGCCCATCATATCATTTACTCTTTCTCGAAAATACTGACAAGAATGGCATGGGCTGCTGCAGTACCTCCCGACGCAAGCCTTCGAGGCCGTGACGGGCGCTCTCAACTTCAATACGCCCGACTGCAGTGTCACGGGCGGATGCGACCTCTACACCACCAAGTCGTCCCGCGCCGATAAGAAGTTGTGGAAAGCCATCGACAAGGATCTCATGTCGCAGTATGCCGCTCTGCAAAAGCTCGGCTCAAGCCTCTCACCGCCTCAGCGCGAAGCCATGATGGCCACCTCCCCTGACATGAAGCTCTTCTCCCAATCGAGTCCGTTCGGCGCTCCGCTCACCGAAATACACAGCCGTCGCACGTTCGCCTACCTGATCGCCACCCTCAACGCGAGCCACCAACACTACGACTTCTCCCACGTCCTCCGCCCCGCCGACTTCAAGCGCGAAAGGAACCTGCGCCGCGTCATGGTCAACTTGAACTCCATTCTGCAGACGTTGCGACCGCACCCCGAGACCCAGCCGGGGGATCCCACTTCGTCCGCCGCGATGGACCCCGCCGTGTGGGGCCCTCAGTGCTGGGCCATGATCGATAAGGAGATGCGCCTGAACCGATGCGCCATCTTTTCCTACTGCCCGGACGACGACCCCTTTGACGAGGACGAGTCCGCATCCGCCATCTGGTCCACGCACTACTTCTTCTTCAACCGCCAGATGAAGCGCATCGCCTACCTCTACCTCCGCGTCGTGCCCGTCGTCTCGTCCCAGTGGCACGCCCTGCGGCCCATGCTACCGTCCCGCAGGAGTAGCTCGGGCGCCAAGCGACCCCACGGCGAAAACTGGGACGCCATGACCGCCAACAAGCGAGCCAAATACTGGCTGGGCGACCGCGACGCCGACGTCGTGCCCCCGCAGGACGACGACGAGATCCCCAACGACGGCTTCGTGTGGAACCGCGGCGCAGACGGCGACCTCGTGTCTTTCCTCGACGAAGAGTATGCCGACGACGACTTGTACTATGACGAGGACGAAGAGGATGAAGATGACGAGGATGAAGATGAAGACGAATACTACGATACCGACAGACGCAAGAGTATTGCACGGGGTATGAGCGAAGACCTGGTCGGTCATATGGAGATTTAGGCCCCGTCTTCCCTACGCTCCGTCATTCTTTCGCCGTGTCTCTCATTCTTCTCCCTTTTCCTTCTCACACTGCACTGTTCGGATTCGACGTTGGTCTGTGCCCTTTTTTCGTCTTTTTTTTTTCCTCTCCCCTTTTATTTTTCAAACATGAAAACCAGCCATCAACTGGCGAGTTTGGGACTTGAATTTTTTTCTTTCTTTTTTCTTGTTTGCGACACTTTATCTCTATGAAAGCCGAGCCGAAGCAAGCGGAAGGAAGACGCATATGGTGTTGACGATGAACAATGGGCACACAGCGTGATGATACCCCCTCTCTATTTTCTCTTCTCTCTTCTGGCCGGGTGGCGCTGGCTGGAGTGTCAGGAGGCTATGTCTTCACGAAGGTGATGCCTATCGGATTCGGTTATCGGAAACGGAACGGAACGGAACGGAACGGCAGGGAAGAGAATGCCAACGGATGAACCCCGGGTTGGGGGACAGTTTGGTACGGTACGGCGATGAAGGATACAAGGACACTAAGGATGCCAGTAGGGACGAGCATGGAGTTTTGGGCTACGCGGCTGTATTGCTTTCTTTTCTTCTTTTTTTTATTAAATATCACTTGGTCTCTCCTCTTCTAGTTTCTTCTGTTTTGTTGTTAATATGTTCCCTGGTAATGCGAGGAGAGAGACGTTCTCAGGGCAGCATGCAATATGACAGACAGACAGATGGACAAGTTGGACGCGACGAAGAGACTTCGCATGGCCTCATCTCTGGTGTAACCCTTGGGGTTTGCCTGTCTTTGTCTCTGAGTTCTCTATTCGCTTCAAATGCCAGAGTTTTCATTAGGGATCGGTTGCTGAAATAACAAGATCTCCTTTCCAGGGCAATGAGGCTTGGTGATATGCTCTGTATCGATGGCCTGCTGAGAGGAGCGCCCCTAATAAATAAGTCTTTGGACCTGAGCAAAGTGGTCTCTATGGGTATTCGCAGAGGGGTTTCAATGAGCTTTTGCCGTCCCTTTCGACTTATCGATCCGCGACCTATGCTGCGCCCATGTTGTCGCATCTCAAGGTATCCATCCCCTCCAAAAATTGAAACGACAAGAAAAAAGGAAGAAAAAAAGGGGGCACAAGAATCGTCCAAAGGTATGTGTACATTCGCTATAAGATCCATCACCAAAAAAACGCCTGCTGCCATGTCCAATGTCCCGTATGTTTTGGTATTCCCGCCCCCGCGCCAAATGCAAGCAGAATCCCGAGATTTCTGACTTGATCGTCGAAATAAAAATAAAAAGTGAAAAAAGGAAGCAGAAAGGAGAAAGGGAAGGAAGGTGAAAGGTCAAAAAAGTAAAAAAAAAAAAAAACCCCCCATGATTGATCAGTAAGAATACAAATCAAATAGAAAAGGGAAAGCTGTCCTTGCTTGGCAGAGAAGAACTCCCTTCGAGGTTTAAAGTCGCGGGTGGCTCATCGCTACCACTATAATCTCAACTCCCTTCAGCCTCACTGTTGTTCTTCACACCATTGGTCTGCTTCGGCTCCCCCTGTTCTTGCCTGGCGTCGTGGATCTCCTCTTCTTCCGACGTGGCTTCTCCCGAAGTGTTGATTGTCGATTCGGGCTCCTCGGGGATGGTGGCAAACTTCATGAGCACCTGCTTGAGGGCGGGGCGGCGGATGGGTTTGCTGAGGAACTCGTCCATGCCGCTCTCCATGCACTCGCGGACGTTGCTCTCCTCCGAGAAGGCGGTGAGCGCGACGATGGGCGCCTTGTAGCCCATTTGGCGGATCAGCTTGGTCGACTGCAGGCCGTCGAGGTTGGGCATCTGGACGTCCATGAAGATGACGTCGAAGCGCATGTTGTTGTCCATGTTGGCCTTGACCAGGTCGAACGCCTCCTGGCCGTCCTTGGCGATGGTCACGTCGTAGATGTCTTCGAGCTTGAGCATCTTGCTCACCACCTCGATGTTGGTCGCGTTGTCGTCGGCCACCAGCACGCGCAGCTTCCCCGAGTCGGATTTGTTGGCCATGGCGCGCGAGATGGCCGCCATGGAGTCTTGGGTGCTTCGCGGCGTGCTCGGCGTGGGGTTCATCGGGAAGTAGGGCTGCCGCAAGCCGACGAGCCTGGTGGCTTGGTGTCCCGCTACGCCAGCTACTTTAGTTTCGCTGGTCGCCTTGGTGGTATTGGGCGTCTGCGCAGTGCGCTGTACGATTTCCGTGGTGCCATCGACGGTGGCCACGCTGGCCGGTCTCGATTTGACGCTACTCGATGCTGTGCTAGATGTCCTGAGCAAAAGGCCATGCGTGGTTAGCGGTGGAGGATTTAAGAGAAAAAAAAAATGAAAAGAAAAAAAAGGAACTGAAAACGAACGGATGGATATACTTACATCTCGCGAACATACCGTAAGGGAATGTACACGGTAAAGACCGAGCCAACGCCAACGGTACTTCTTAGAGACACGGAGCCACCCATGAGATACGCCAGCTGGTGACAGATACTGAGACCGAGACCGGTGCCTCCAAACTTCTTACTCAAGCCCAGGTCGCCCTGGACGAAAGGTTCGAAGACGCGCTGCTGCAGATGCTCCGGAATGCCCGGCCCCGTATCCTCCACTTCGAACTCGAACATGAACGACTTGGCTCCAGGAGGCGGCGGGGTCGGCGAGCGCTCTTCCCCGGTCAAGTGCGGAGCAAACTTGGGCTCCATGGGGTTGATGGAGAGGGCCGTCCCTTTGGCCGCCGCCCCGAGGGTTGAGCCCGCCTTGGAACTAGACGAGTGGGCGGAGCTCCCGCCGGGCCTGTATCGGGACCTCGAGAGTTGTTTCGAGTCCCTGGAAAAGGACGACGGGCGGCTGTTGTCGTCGCCGCCGGAAGACGTCGTCTCGACCTCCCCGACGCACCTGATGCGAACGCTTACGGTTCCTCCTGGCGGGGTGAACTTGAGGCTGTTGCTCACGAGGTTGATGATGATCTGAAGGATTCGGTGCTGGTCGCCCCAGAGACACAGATCCTTGAGCCGGCCTGCACCATTGGGTCCCAGAGCGGGCAGCTTCTTGTCCGTGCTGACGCGCTCGACAGGAGGGTCGGATTCGATGGCCTCAGAGCTCGAGAAGTTAACAGATAACGTGATGCGGCCTTCGCGGACTTGCTTATCGAAGATGGAGAGCACCTGGGTCCTGATATCGGCGAGTCTGAATTCCCTCTCCTCCAGGGCAAGCTGCTGTCCAATTTGATTCTTCGAGAAGCTCAGAAGGTCCTCGAGGAGATGCAACAGGAGGTCACCTGCAGGGAAAGTGTTAGTTGGTGTGTGCCGAAAACTGTAAAGAAGACTGGTCCCGCGCATAGTTACTTACCCGACTTGTAGAGCGTTTTTAGGGATTGCTTGATCCTGGAAATGTCCGTCTCCTCCATGCAAACGGCGCACATGCCGAGAATGCCGTTGAGGGGTGTTTTGAGCTCATGCGAGATGTTTGCGATGAACAGCGTCTTGCTCTCGTTGGCAGCTTCGGCGGCTTTCTTGCTGATTTCCAGCTCCCTCGTCCGTTCCGCCACCTTGTCGTCGAGGGAGGTGTATTGCTTGACCAGCTCGTCGCTCATGCCGTTGAAAAACTGGGTCAGCTCGCTGAGCTCGTCAATGATGAAATGTTTGCGGTCGTCCACTTTTCCGGGAATCTTGAAGGTGCGGCGGGCGGATTCCTGGTCGTGGTCCGTGGGCGGTCTCTCCTTGGCCCTGTAGCGGAAGATTTTGGAGACGGCTGCCGCTGCCCAGCTGCCTTTCTGAGACCTCTGGGAGCGAGAAGAGATGGCGCCGGAGCCCGCAGTCGTCTCGTTCTCGTTCTCGTGTTCGTGTTCGTGTTCGTCCTCGTCATCATCAGAGGTACTGTCATAGCCAGGAGGCGCGATGGTCTTTTCCGTAGCAGCTTTGAGTCGCCGGATGGGCAGAACGCTAAGGTGGGCCAGGGGAAAGACCAAAACGATGACGAGCCCGGCGGTCCCGAACACGCAGCCCAGGATGATGTTTCGCAAGGTAACGGTCGGGGCGTCCACCTCGGATTTGGCCTGTTCGACGATGACCGTCCAATTCACCAGAGGGGTACTCGTCCTGGCGAAGCCGACAGCCACGGAGACGCCTTGCTCATTATGGGTGGCGATCATGGAGCTGGCGTTATTAACGGTGTCATACCGGTCGGCGAACGAGTTGAGGACGGCGGGGAAATCTCTGGCGGGAAAAGGGACATTGTAACCACTGGAATCGGGGGCGTCGCTGTCGGGATTAGAGCTGCGTTTGGAGTGTCTGTCGGCTTGGCCCTCGAGAGGACCAGGGGGCAGAATGAAACGGACGGGGTTTTCGCCGAAGACGTGCCTGTCGGGGATGTAGGTGTGATTGCTGGGAGGGTTGGCAGGATCGAAGCGGTTAGTGGGACCCGTAGGACCGACGAGCAACACGACGCCGGTCTCGCCTAGGCCTTCTCGCGACTCCTGCACGGCAAACAGGGACTCGGCGGAAAACACCATGGTGATGTAGCCGAGGATCCATTCGTTGCTGAACTGGTCCCGGATGGGGACGGTGACGGACATGAGCGCGTAGGTCTGGTTCACGACGAGGGGGCCCAGCAGGAGACCGCCGTTGGCCGAGACGCTAACACCTGGGAAGGCCTCGGCAGCGTAGGCCGGCTCGAGAGGCCGGCGCCGACTGGGTCGGCCCAAGTCTATATACGTGATGTTGGGATAGAGCTGCGGGGGGTAGCCTTCGGGCGAGTGGCTCAGGTAGGCAGGTTGGCCATCGGGGCGCGTGTGGGGGAGTCTGATGGGTTGGACATGGCTACCGGTGACGTTGACGAGGCCATTGGGGTCGCCGGTGACATTCCTCGAGTAGATCCTGCCTTGCAAGACACCAGTGAGGAAACCGACGCTGATGGCGCTGGAGAGGTCTAGCCTAGCGGCCTCCCAGTCGGCTTCGGCGGCATTGCCGGTGTAGAGACCGTAGAGGGAGCGCTGGATGAGGAGGCGGGAGGAGATGGTGAGGCAGCTGGACTGGGCGAGTTCGAGTTCGGCGGAGATCTTGGAGGCCTTGAGGGAGGCGGTCAATGCGAGTTGGGAGCCTTCGATGTTGTTGACGAAGCGGTTGACGAAGACCCAAACGGGGACAGACAGGATCATCAAGCCGAGGAGAACGGCGAGGACGACGACAATGGCAAGCTGTTCTCGGATGGCGACCCTGATTGCCATAGTCCCTGATTTACCCTGGGGTGGAACGCGAAGTCGACGCAGCGGTTCGGTTTCCAAATCATGGTACGCGCAACTGAGCCGTCCCCTTCCTTTTCCCTTTCTTTTTCTTCTTTCCTTCTTTTTTCTTTCTTTCGCCCCTCCGTTTTCCGCCCCCGTCTCCCCTAGACGGAATAAGTGAACAATCGGTACGGTTGCTCCCAGGAAGGCCGGAGTGACTACCGGGTGATAGACAAAACCTCACCCAGAGCCAATCAATTGGGAGGTGAGTTGACTCTTATCCAAGGTGTTCACGGACAAAAAGTAGCGAGTAGTCCGTAAAGTAAAAAGAAACCCGGTCTGCCAGTGGGAGGATGTACGTTGTAGGTTGTAAGCTATCGGGCGTGCGGAGTACGTGTACCAGAGAGTCGAAGATCGGCGGAGGAGAAGGGAGGACGAGACAAGGATGAGGATAAGGAGGAGGAGGAGGAGGAGGAGGAGGAGGAAGAGGAAGAGGAAGAGGAAATGGTGCTGCGGGTTGAATTGCTAAGGTACCTTACCTTACGGAGTTCCAGTACCCAAGGTACAGTACATAATCATTACTCCGTACCTTCTTACCCTACTGCGAAGAGCAGAAGCGAAAAAGAAGAAAAAGAAGAAAAAAAAGAAAGAAGAAAGAAGAAAGAAAGAAAAATTGGTACGAGGGCGCGTACTCAGTAAGGTACAGGTATACCCGGAATGTTGGGGAGAATCCGGTGAAGGAGTTCGTGCTTGGATGTAGGAGGTACTTCGTACGCATTACGGATGCCTAGGATCGAGGAGGTACTGCATACAACAGTATCCAAAGGTACATACATTAGGTACCTTAGGTGGATGACTGGACCGCTCAAAGGGACAAGGGGTCGAAGAATCTGGACCCGTCTGCGTCGTTTCGGGGAGGGGGGAAATGATCCCTGACTCGATGTCTTAATCTTTAATTTAACGATTAGTATAGTCGACTACGATCTCGGAGTCGTCCTAATACGGAATAGGTCCGGATAGCCACGACCTGACCCACAGGGAGGGAAAGGAAAGTTAGTAAGGAATGCGCGATACGAAGTACGGAGGGAAGAAGTACGCTTCATTCTGGAACGATCAGTAGAAGCGCAAACTAATTACTTCTTCCTTTTAATTCGTAAATAACGAGAAGACGATTTTTGAGTTGCTGTTTTAAACGAACTGGGGAAAATGGGGTTACGCGCCTCGTCGAATCCTTCGGGATTTTTTTTTAATGGTCCCGCGAGTAAGAAGGGTAATGACCCACTTACCTTACTTGGTTCGCTGACTAATCTCCCAGTACAGTATCCGTACAACATAATGCGCTGGCACGGACACTTCGCGCACCTCTAAGTACCTAAGGTACCTTATATTCCGCTCAACTCCCACTCTATAAAGTACCTAGGTAGAAAACTACAAGAGTTTTTAAGGACAAAAAGACAGTAAAATGGAAGACGTGATGAATGGTGAAATAGGGGAAGTGCAAGATAAGCGAAAGAAGGGATAGAGCACTATGCCACTTCCAGCAGCTCGACTAAAGGTCTAGGCCATTCCACAGAATATGTACCTACGAAGTATCTATGTATTAGGCTGAGCTTGCTCGGTGAAAAAGAAGTCTGTGCGTTTCACCTGGGCCGTTATATATTAGTCAGGACATGATTGTTGGTTGGTCCATCTTCCGTCACTCCAAGCTCGTGATACCTCGATCACCGTAGCAAGAAATCGACACGAGTCAAGGGCACTAAGAACATAATTGCTAGAAATCCATTGACAAACGTTATTGCTTTCCATATTATTTGTCTGCTCCCAGCACGTGCGTATTCCCCAAATCAGTCCATCACTTAGGACATGAAAGCACCGCCCCATCATTGCCCATTGCCCTCATCAACGTCGTCATCATCATAAAGGAATGGAATACAAGGAAGAGAATGAGACATGTAGGAAAAAATAAAGACAAATAGGAAAAGTCCTGGGGCGCCCAAAAGGCCCGTCATGTTCGAGTAAACATCAGTGGCACCAGCGCCGACTGACTCGACATGGCCCTCTCATCCGTCAAGACGCTGACGAAGCTCCTGCCAAACATCCCCTCCCGAAGCCTCAAGCCCAGAGCACAGCTGTCAGGTCCCAGCATCGCCGCCGGCTTCAGAGGAGGAGGCATCTGCTTCTTGGCAAACTGCTGTGAGAGCTTCAGCAGCACCGCCTCCTTGGCCCTGCGCAACGCGCTCGTCCTCGCCGCCGCGTCTTCCGCCAAGACGCGCTGCGCCTCTTCCTGCTCGATGTTGCGCTGCACCGACGACAGGAAGCCGTCCGCCCCGGACCCTTCGGCCCCGCCACCTTGCCCGTTCGGGTTGTACACCGTCGGCTGGAGGAGGACCGGCGGCGGGCTGCCGTCCATGATGGGCGCCGTAATATCCGACACGGGCGGCGGGGGCGTTGTAGGCCGAGCCGTCACTGCTTCGTGTCCCGACTGCCGGCCTCGCGAGCCGGACCTGGTCGGCGGCTGTGTTTGCAGCTGCGGGTGTTTCGGGGGGAGGTGGCCCTGGCTGTGGCTGTGGCTGTGACTGTGACTGTGACTGTGGCTGTGACCAGAGGAACTATCTCTCTCCCCAGCCTCCCCCTTCTTCCCATCCCAATCTTGCTCTTCTGGGGTTCGCTTTCTTCTCCGCTTCTTCTTCTTCTTGAGCTTCGCAGTAAACGCCTTGCCAGCCTCCCGTGCCGCTGCGATGTCGCTGGCGAGGTCGTCTTCGAGCCCGTAGGTCCCATGACCGTCGGGAAGGACGTCTCCATCTCCCACTTCCATTCCAGCCAGCTCAAAGTCGACGAGCTGCGGCAACCCACCAAACTCAAAGCTCTCGTCGAGCAGCTCGCGTGAAGCGGCAGCCGCCGCAGCGCTGGGCGTCGACGGCAGGTCATCGTGCGACGGCACCGTGTGGAGGAGGTGACTGCTGCTGCTGCTGTTGCTGGCGTCGGACCTGCTCCGCGACAGCGACAGCGCGTACTTGGACCACAGCTCCCTGCCGGAAGACGACGTGTCCTTCTTCAGGGGCGCCAGCGCGTCGTCCCAGGCCCCGCCGTCCGTGAGTACCACGTCCTCGAAATCGAACTCCCGCACCGTCGGCCGGTGGACGTCCACGAGCGCCGACAGCTGCGGGCTGTTCATGACGGCGTTGCGGACGGTCATGCGCCGCAGACGCGGGAAGACGAGGGGCCGGCGGCTCGGTGCGGGTGGGAGTGGCGACATGGGGCTGGTGACCTCGTTGAACAGCTTGCGACTCGTCGGGGACGGGGCGAAGAGCGGGTCGTCCGCCAGCGCGAGCGGGCAGGGTCCGCGGAGCCCGAGCCAGGTGAAGGACAGCTTCTCCAGGGACGGGGCCAGACCGCGCAGGTAGTGGTCGATGACCCGGAGGTGGTCCCGACCGGGGGAGGCGGGGTCCGAGAAGTCCCAGCTCTCCACGGCCAGCGAGAGGCGGCGGATCTGGCGCCAGCGGCGCGGCGAGGAAGGGAGGGCGCCGAAGGAACCGGCGGGGGAGTGACGGAGATAGTGGAGGGCGGAAGGGTGGACGTGTTCGAGGGAAAGATGGTCGAGACGGGTGAGCGGCGCCCTCTCGATGGCGATGCGCAGGCTAATGAGAGCGTAGTCGACGGCGTTCCGGCGATAGCGTTCGCGAGGATCCTGTCCCGGGGTGCGAATGGTGAGGTGCCGGAGGTTGGGGAGGTGACGAAGGGCATTGATAAAGGAGGGCACGTTGGTGGCGGCGTGGAAGAGGGGCGGGTATTGCTGGGTGAGGATCTCGCCGAGCTCGGTGTTGGCGTACTTCGGACGGACGAGGACCGAGGCCATGGACGTGTACGGGGTGTAAAGGAAGCAGATCTCGGCGCCTGTGAGCGGGTGGATCAAGGGCGGGAGGAAGGTGGCGGGAGAGTGCGGGAAAGAGAAGGCCAGGTGCTCGATATGATGGCCTACCCGGGCCAGGGCCTGGACCCGAGAGCCCTTGGTGAAGGTGTTGGCCGTAAAGGTCAGGTGAATCCGCTTGAATAGACGCTTCGTCGTGATATTGCAGCAGGCGGACGAGGCTAACCGCAGGGAGGCCAAGTCCTCCCGGGGCAGCAGGTCAAGAATGCGGCCTCGGACCGGCTCGTTCCCCTTTTTCCACAGGCAATAAAATGGTGTCATTGCGGTTTGGGTCTCGTGATGTGGGTGGTGTCTGAAGTGTTCGTGGGCGTCCATGGTGGCGGCTGTCTCATATCGTGATGAAACGACAGGACCTGGCGATTTGGCTGTCGAGCCTGGACCGATCAGGAGGCAGTCGGTTCCAGGACAGGGGCCAACAGCTGTACACCTCAAAGGTCGGACTCCAGGTGTGGTTTATTGGGGTCACAGTTGATCCCGTTTGGAGAGGTTGGTGAGTGATGGGTTGGATGAGATTGTGTAGTGTATCTTTGGAGCTGACGAGGCTGAGCCAGTGAGATGAGGCTATTCGCGACGCCGGTTGAGCCACGAGATGATCAATGTCAAGCATATGCAAGCGTAGGGTGAGGTAAGGTAAGTCGGGTTCCGGAACAATGATGCGCAAGTCGAGTCGGGTTTGCTGCTGCTGCTGCTGGTACTGCATGCAAGAGAAGCAAGTCAAGAAGAAAACAAAGAAGAAAAGGAAGCAGTCCAAGGCAGGTACCGATGCGTAAGTACGCACGTATAGGATGTACGGATTCCTGAAAGAGCGCTACTCAGTAGAAAGCAGAACGGTCATGAACGGGAGACCCGACCGACCCGGGCCAGAGACCACAGGTGGCCTGTTATATGCATCCACGTCGGCCCTCGTTCACCATGTGCAGAGCAAAGGGGATCACTACTAGCCACGACGCCAATGCCAACGCCAACGTGGACACCAGGGATTCCCAGCCCCGCCACGGTCGTGTTGTCCTGCGTGTTTTTTTTTTCTTCTTCTTCTTTTTCTTTCCTTTTTCCATCCTTCATCCACTGGTCCCCGTTTGCGAAAACCCCGAGTTCTTCTCTCTCGTTGCTGTCTCCGCAGTGATGCTCCTGGCAAAAACGACTGGCCATGACTCACCAGATTCCGCATATGCAGTAGCGTTGTAATATCATTGGAAGTTGGGAGTTGCAGTAGCGCAAGTCTGTCTGACATTGCATTCTGGGTACTACGCTTCGGCTCCGTTACCTCCCCTCGGCGCGCACCGCGACACCGACGTGCCGGCCGTCTTGACTGGTCCGCAGCGTCGAAGTCTGCATGACGTCTCACGAGGCGGTGGCTCTCGTCCACTGACATCCGACGGGGAGTGGAGCCGGGCGGCCGACCTTGCATTGCAGCATTGGAGCTGTGGTCGTGGAAGAGTCGTGGAAGAGTCGTGGTTGTTGTGGTGGCTGTGGTGGTTTTGAGATTCTGCCCCGCAATGCCCCGCACTGCCGCTGTCGATAACGCGTGTTGAGGATTTGGGGAAAACGGTGAGACACGCGCTCAGGAGACTCCTATTGGACGAAAGCTTGCCGGTATTCGGTTTGGCAATTGTGATTGGGTAGAGACTTGACGCGGGAAGTCGGACGCGTTGAAAGACCTTGAGAGACGCGATGTCAAACCGGTGTACGTACCTAGCGACTCGCGACGTTACTTGGTACTTTGTACACACGCGATATCCTGCGAGGACATCGCGTGTCTGATCGAGACTCGGTTCTCTGTATGCAGCCCCATGCACGGCAAGATACAACTGCATTGTTGACAAACCCGGTCCATGCGCGACCCTACTAACAACTCCCGACTGACAATAGGTCGTCCCTGATCTATCCACAGGGGAGAACACCCAACGCGACGGCGACACTAATCTTCTGCGTTGTTCGTCGTTAGACTCGGGTCTCGTGGAGGGGACGATTTGCGTGATGCCGGTGGAACGACTAATACCAACCCCTTCGTCTCTGCTCATAGTCCCTGAAGCACAGATGACAATCGCCCTCACACAATCCTCCACCACCTCTCCTTCCACCCGATGAAACAACACGTCTGGTATTCCAACTTTGCTTGCCCCTTAGTCTGATCCACCGGCAGCTGGTGGTTGACAGACTTGACAGTCTATGGTCTACTCTCCCGTTCGTGGGTGGATTGGCATAGAAGTCCTTGAGGACTACCACAACCACAGGCCGGTGTGGCCAGAGACGGTAGACCTCACCATTGGCTGCAATGCAAGCTCGTTGAGTCACAAAACAACAAAACACCGACGTGTCGTGTCCCCAACATGAATCGACAAAAAGTTGCCAAGAGAATGTTGCGGCTAGACAACTGTCAATAATAGTCTCTGTAGTTGTAGATACCGGGTGTCCTTCGTGGTTTCGGGCGTCTCGACCCTCCAAGACCTCTGACCACCTTCTCGTCATCCCATCCATGTAAACGGGAAGCGCAACCCCAAGTCGATTCTCTGATATTACAAGTTACAGGCACTCCAGTAGGGAAAGAAGAAGACCCACGACTCCTAATTTAATAGGAGGGCAGTGCCATGTGGTTGCAGCACTGTTGCCCCCCCCCTTTTGCAATGCCATGCCACGCAAGATCGGCCACTAGTCCTCCAGACCCCAATCTCAAGCAACATACAGAGGTAATACCTACCTCTCGACCGGCCCGTTCTAATTCTTATACTCCGTAGTTCGTATTTGGCATCACTGACTTCTCATGCCACTCTGTTCAGTGGTCGAAGAGTAAAAGAACTTTGTACATCTGCCCCCTCGTATTCGTATGTGAAGTTCCACGCTAAAATTTGTTGCGTATACTCCGCATGTGGTTTGCTACCCAATACAGGTGAGCCCATCTATCGCCTTGACGATTAAACCCTACTTCGTCTTCGGCTTCCTCCTGTTGTTCCGGGATTTGCGGTTGTTATTGCCCGACTGCTGCTGCGAAGACCCGGCACGCTTATCGTTCTTCGACGATGATCCCTGTTTCCCCTTGCCCGAAGTCTTTGGTTGCGCCGCGACCTGGTTTGGTCCGGGAGCCCTGGGCATGGGCCTGGGCGGCAGCGGATGAGCGAACGCGCTGTAACCCCCGGGCGGCCCGGGAGGAGGTGGACCGGGAGGCAGTGGAGGCTGAGCATAGGAAGCGGGGGGCGGGGGTGGTGGCGGTCTTGCCCCGTTCACGGGCGTGAACCGGATATTGCTGGACACTCGCATTTTCGCAGGTGGCTCCCTAGTCCTTACTTTCTCTCCGATGAACTCGCCCTCCTCGGATCCATCGCTATCTGGGTAGAATATATGGGTCCTCTTCGCACTGGCGCCTTTGATCCTGAGTTCAGAACCCGGCTCGGCAAAAGTCGCAGAAGTGGCGGAGGCCTCCTCGGCCGAGCGCGGATCCACGTATAAGTCGCGGTTCTGCATCGACCAAGTCAAGCTAACGGGCCTGTATCCCCGTAGACCACAGTCCGAAGAAAAGTGCCCTTCGGCACCGCAGTACCCACAGAATGCCGGGATGTCGCGCACCGTTTTGACATCTTGACTCCGGGGATGGTAAGAGCGCCAGATCTCGTCGCACACGTCTTCGTGATGTGCCGCGGCACAGAAGGCGCATTCCAAGCCTTCGTCGTCTGTCATGGCCAGCTTCTCCTCGCAGATCGACTCTCGGTGGCCCAACTGTCGACACTTGGCGCATCGCGAGCGCTGTGGGCAACTCCAAGAGAAATGGTCTCCTCGACAATGGCGGCATAGAGTATTCTGGCAGTTCAAAGCCGAGTGTCCGAGCGCCGCACAAACAATGCAGATATCGAAGAGGCCAGAGGCCCCTGGGAAATACCTTTGCTGTTGGCGTAGCGCCTCCTCTTCGTCCACAACCGTCCGCCAAGACTCTGCCGGAACTTCAGCGGCAGCGATCTGCATATCATGAGCATCGTCGGTCTCTGGGCCTTCTGAAGCATCAGCGACTTCCGATTCTTCCCCAGAATCATGACCCGCACCGGGCTCGGAGCCTGGGTCGGGTTCGAGCAGAGACGCCCACTCACTCGCAGTTGGCGCATGCGCTTCGTGTTCTGAAGAGGACGGCTGGGGCTCGGGCTCCGCCTCTGGCTGCAACTCAAGCTCTGGCTCTGACTGCGGCTCAAGATCAGGATCTGGTTGCGGCTCAAGCGCAGGCTGAAGGTCCGGCTCAGGCTCAGGCTCAGAGTCAGGCTCGGCCAACGTCGGGGGACGAGAGGGAGTCGGCACCCCTGTAGAAGTGTCACCATTTACTGTGGGGTCCGGTGAATCGAAGTCAGGCTGCTCAGTATCCGCCGTCGTCTTGTCCGTAGGATCCAGCGGGGCGGCAGAACTCCCTTCTTGGGCCTCTGTACATTGCCGCAGAATCGTGGTGACGGTACCGAGTTTCCGCAGTTTATTGAATCCCTTCTTCACAAGGGCCCGCCATTTATGTTGTTGTTTGGCGTCCTTGGCCTCGGGAGATGTTGCATGCTTCAAGTGGATGCCCATGAGCACATTGACAATGACGTCGGTGAGTTTTTGCTTCTTTTTGGGATTCTCCTCGACCAGAGCTTCGCACCATGCGCGAAACCAGTTCTCCACACATTTGCTATCCGACGGCATCAAGGGAACCATTGTGTCGACAGGTAGCGTCCAATGCACACCGTAAGCCTTGGTCTTGCGCGACCTGCCGAGTGACAGAGAGCCGTTGGTGACACTCGCGGCAGGAGCCTTATCGCCGCTGCTTCCACTAGGTACAGTCATAGCGCCCGCGGCCGTTGGTGGCGAGAGGTTTTCCACCTGCCTCGAGCCCGCCTCCGAGCCAGGCTGATCTGCCTCTGTCACCGACGGCGGCGGACACTTTGCGTTTTCCCCGCCCATCTCCTGCAACACAACGGCATCGTCGTTAGGCTCCGAGAGGTGACCGGCGGTTTGGCCCACACCTCCAGACGCTTCTTCTAAAGAATCTCGTGTCTTGGTACCATAATCCGTATTCGGCTGTCCTCTGCCATTTTGCTCATCAAGCGTGCTGTGCGGTGAATTGGGCGAGCCCGTCTTCTGCCTCTTAGACCCTGGTTCGTTTGCAATCCCTGTGGAAGAAGTCGACTCGCATTTGCTATCCTGTACGCCGTCGCGGAAGCGCTTCCGGGAAGACGCCGGGCCAACAGCCATGTCAGAGCGGTTGGCGGGCTCTGTTTCTGTTGTGGCCCCCATGGGACCAACGAGAGACAAGAACGAAGCTTGTCAAGGCGATGTTGCGCGAAGTGAGATGACAGGAGCAGCAGAGTACCTCGGGCAACTTGAAGCCGGGAGATGAAAGCCTAGATTCAGTGTAAGGAGCCCAGGCTCATGTCATGTCAGGCGCACTTCTCACTGAACTAGCCAAGACTTTGCCCAAATCTGCTGGCTACCATTTGCAAAGAAAAGGAAACAAGAAAAGGAAAATAGAAAAGAAGAAGAAGAAAAGGAGTCCACTGATGATTTCTTAAATCTGGAATGAACGAGAAAAGCGTGTGCGCCCGTTGCCCGGAAAGGAGTAGGTAGATCAGGACAGGGTCTCAACATTCGTAGGACCCGTGTAGCGGATTGCCTTCGAGGAGGAAGGTGCAAGTCGCGTGAATAAGATAAATGCGTCTCTGTCCGTTAGACGAAGAGTTGGCGGTGTTATCAGACACTCTTGCTTCTTGTCGGCCCTTTGGGATCAGGTGGGCAAAGTCAATACAGGGAGGTAAAGAGTTTATGGCAGTCTGAAATAAAATAAAAGGAAAAAAGTTGTAGTCAATATTACTTAAGGGACCGTCTACCTTAGAGAGGCACTATATCTGGCTGGAGAGGCACCTAAAATTGGGGTAAGTCCGCCGGACCCATATTTCGATATCGAGGTACAGGAAAAGATACAAATCAGTACTAGAAAACCAACCTAGTCAAAGTACCTAAGCACTATACTTAAGGACGTTAATCCGATTATATAATACAAGGTATGTGAATTTCAAGATAGGTGATAGGCTGTTTGATTAACTATAGCCTAATTACCGTTACTAAGTATAGTACTATTAATATCCTCTTTTATCTAGGGCTATTTACGTAGATAGCTTTATTAGGTATTATTAGTATTATTATTGTTGTTATTATTATTATTATTATTATTATTATTTTATTATTAAGCTATAGAAAAGACTATAGCTATAGGAAAGATTAATATATTTTAAATAAAGGTATATATAGATATACGAGAAATAGCAGATTTAGTAGTAAATACTAGGGTACTTTATAATAGGCTTTATAGGATAATAGGTGCCGCGCTATAGCTTTAGAGCTATATACGCATAATAAAAAATATCAGGAACTGCTACCACCGTTATATCTATAGTAAAAATTCTACAGGTGTCTATTCGCCCGAATTACCGAGGCTATAATTCTTCGATTAAATCCGTGCCTGTTACGTAACCGTAAAAACACGGTCTATTCAACAGGGATCACCCTATAGTCCCTGCACAAACCTGAAATCCTATAGAGTACGTACCTTGTACCTTATGGAGGTAAAGGTGGCTTGTGATTTCCAGTGATTTGCAGTGATTTCCTTGGTCGCGCCTGCCAAATCGTCCCAAGCTAAGGGGAATGCCAAGTAACCTCTTACGACAACATAACCACCACGCAGCTTTTGAAGAATCTCGGTTCTCGCCATCTCCATCTCGCATCATTTCTCAACCTCGACCACCTTCCCACTCGCAATACCTACCGTGTCCTGGTCTGCCACGGCTTTACCTTTCTCGAATCCACCACCCTCTCTTCTCAGCCCTTCGTTAGGTGGTGGGTGTATTCTCCCGAAAACGGTTGATAACGGCTTTCCCATCATTCCTTATACTCTATACTCTGTACATCCAGCTCCTCTATTCGCCTCGATTCTTATTTGCCCATCCTCGGGAGGGATCAGAAGTTCATCCGTCGAGAGTTCATCTTCCTTTAGCTCCCATTCATCTGATCATCCTGTCATCCTGTCATCCGGTCATCCGGTCATCCTGTCATCCGGTCATCCTGTCATCCGGTCATCCTGTCATCCGGTCATCCTGTCATCCGGTCATCCTGTCATCCTGTCATACTGTCAAACTGTCAAACTGTCAACAGAATACCGCCAAACTGTCTTCACCGATCCTCATCTCGCGCACCGTCTCCTACGAGGCGGCTGCCAATTCTCCCCCCAATCGCAGCACATCGTACGGAACTATGGCGGACCGAACAAGCAGACGCAGGAGATCTAGTAGCCTCCTCCAAGTCCATTACGAACCGGCTGAGACACTTGAGCAGATAAGTGACCAAGCCGTCGTCCCCAACCTCAATGCCAACTGGGTCAATGCCAAAGGTGAGCAGCAGTTCCCTTCCCCTCTCTTCCTCTCGCGTCCGTTCTCCCCTACCGACGACTGCCGGCTGCCCGCGACTCGCCGCCACCGTCTTGGCACCAGCATCTTCGGGCTTCCTAGATTCCTAGACTAGAGTTATAATGCTTACCAGGACGTCACATCTTCGCTGACATGTTCCCCCCTGAACAGGAGCCTGGACTATCCACCTCGTACTTATCGCCGGTCTCAAGATCTTTTACGATATCATTCCAGGAGTGTCACAGGAGTCATCCTGGACGTTAACGAATATCACGTACATGTGCGGCTCGTACATCATGTTCCATCACGTACGCGGCATCCCCTTCGAGTTCAATGGCGGCGCCTTCGACAACCTGAACATGTGGGAACAAATCGATGACGGCGCCCAATACACCCCCGCCAAGAAGTTCCTCCTCAGCGTGCCCATCGTGCTCTTCCTCTTGAGCACCCACTACACCCATTACGACCTGACGTACTTCAGCATCAATTTCCTAGCCTTATTGGCTGTTGTCATCCCTAAGCTTCCATTCGTATGTCCTGTCTTTTCCCAGTGTTTTCTTGCCCCCACCCCTCTCCCCTGTCGTCTCGTTTCACGAGACGGTGAGCACTGGTGGACCAGCACGTCAGTGGCGAGGTTTTGAGGCTAATGTGGCTTTTTTCTAGAGCCATCGCATGCGCCTCGGCCTTTTCCACGGAGTACCCGAGGATTGAAGTAGCCCACACAATAAACTAGGCAACCGTCTGGCGGTGGCTGGCGGCGTTCTGTAGGGAGACTTCACCGGTATCAGGTCCCACCGTGGGACCATGTGGGGGTCAAGAGGGAAAGCAAGAGAAGAAGAAGACGAAGAAAAGAGTACTCGGTAGAGAGATCATGGTCAAAGAGGGAGAAGGCGGATATCTGAATCACAAAACATCGCAACACCCAGTAGCGACCATCCTTCCGTGCCATGGGACGGGGTGATATGATATCCCGGCGAGCGTCTTGCGAGCCAGATGGAGCGAACAATAGGACCTTTCAGTGGCGCAAAATCGACGAACGATTGGGGCCTTCCAGACTAATCTTTTTTACTTCGTTCGGTTCACGATGAAAACCCATATCGCCCGTGTCGCCGGGAGACAAAATGAAGAAGCGATTACATAACGACGACCTAATCCGTACCGGGGCCCGATAATTCCTCCCCGCGCCTCTTCATCTCACCGGGGGAGCTTAAGTCAAGATGCGGAAAACACTCTTTTGATCACACCCAGATGCTGAATGTACCTCACTAAACAAGCCAGAAGAAAAGTGGGAAACGAGATTTAAAAAAAGAAAAGAAAACCCAAGAAATGAAAGGAAGAATAAGAGCACACCTAGTCTGGGTGTCTTCCTCGAACACAGAGGAAAGAAAATTGACTGGTGGAGTATGGGCGCACCCCTGATAACCGCCACGGCCGGATATTACGCAAGAGACTTCAATACGGCTGGAATCACGACTAGAACTCTTCTATACGATCCGTTGGCGTCCCTTAGCCATGCGCATGACCGTCCTTCGAAGAGGCCGGCTCACATCACTCATCATATATAACATCACCAGCCCAGCAGTCAAAACTAAAGGGTTCGAGGGAACCTGTCGTAGGCATGCACCACCACCCGCCATGTGTAGTGCCTCGACCGGCCCTTGTCCCATCTCAACACATTTCGAGCTTTGAGAGTTACCCTTCTCGGCCTCGATCGTATCGTATCCGACATGGTTCTTACGAAGTACGAGGAAACTGGTGAGCTGCCCTGGGAAGTCGCCTCCCCTCCAACCCCCGCCAAAACCTATATGTCTATCCGCGCGCCATGCCATCCAAAATCTGACTTCCAGCTCTTACCGTGGCCGCTTGCTTTCCGGCAGGCTCGTTCGGGTCGTCATGGACTGGGTTCGAGATGTGCGAACTGGAGCTTAAACCTTGAATTAAATCACAAGATTTACGACTTGAAGCACAGTCCGCCCATATCCCCCACTATAAAGGACCATCGTCGAAGCCCCCCCCCTTAGGACACAGATCTTTGACCTCTCCTTCTTTCTCAAGCCAGCTTGTTCCTGACGATCGGCACCAGTTCTGATTTCCATTTCCACCTCCCCCCCCCCGCGTCAACAAGAACTCTTCCACAATGAAGGCGCCGGTCACCATCCTGGCCCTCCTTTTCTCGGCGGTCAAGATCTCCGCCTTGGCCGTAGCAGAGCCTGCCGCAGTGGCAGACTCCGCTGCCGTCGCAGATAATAACGACGGACTTGCCGTCGTCGCTAGGGACGTCGCAGACGGGCATCACGGACACGGACATCACGGACATGGGCATCACGGGCATCACGGGCATCACGGGCACCACAGCAGCAGTCACCACGACTGCCACTCACAGCACTGCCTCGGTCACCACCAACGCGAGGGCTGCCAGCACTGCGGAGGTCATAAAGGCCACGGCCATCAAGACCACGGCCATCACTGCCACCACCACCACCATGTTAATCACCACCACAGTCACCATGGTCACCATGGTCATGGTGGCCATCTCCACGAGAAGCGGCACGAAGGTGATAAGGGTAAGATCTGGGGTAATGTCGACCAACGTTCCGGCGGTCACGCGCACGACTGCCAGTCGGGCTTCTGCCATAACAACCACAACCACCACGCCTGCAGCCACTGCAACGCCTTCGGCAGCAGTCAACAACACCACGGCCATGATCACCACGCTCATGGTCACCACCACGCTCATGGTCACGGCCATCATGATGGTCACCACGGCCATCATAAGCATGAACTCGGTCATAAAGGCGGTCACGGCGGCGTTCACGGTGGCGGTCACGGTGGCGGTCACGGTGGCGGTCACGGCGGTGGCCATAAAGACGGCCATAAAGTCGGCCACGGACACGGACACGGCCATGGCCTTGGCCATTTGAACATCAAGCTCGAATCGTGCGATTCGGACTTGTGCCGCACCAACCAGCACCACCACGCGTGCCGGCACTGCCTTCACAACCAGCATCATTCTCAAGGCCACAAGCATCACCATCATCGCCACGATTGCAATTCGCAGCACTGCCGCGGCCACTTCAACCGCAGCGGCTGCCAGCATTGCCATAAGGAGAACAAGCAACACCACGAGTTCCGCGAGTACTACCGCCGCAAGCACTTCCGCAAGAACGAGTGCGAGTCGGAGCGGTGCCGTAAGGACTTCCGCCAGGAGGGCTGCCGTCATTGCATTGAAGCGCCCAAGTGCACCAAGGGCGGCTGCGCTATCGTTGTTACCACGGGCCCCGCCCCCGTGACTAAGGAGGTCCCCTCCAAGGCCATTGAGGTTCCTGTCCCCGACTGCCCGGCCTGTCCTCCTCAGCAGAAATGGGTCCCGGCCGTTCCCGTTCCTCAGCTCCCTCAGCCTGCTCCCGAGCCCGCTCCTCAGTTCATTCAGCCCGCTCCCCAGCCCGCTCCCCTGCCCGCTCCCCTGCCCGCTCCCCAGCCCGCCCCTCAGTTCATTCAGCCCGCTCCTCAGCCCGCTCCTCAGCCCGCTCCTCAGCCCGCTCCTCAGCCCGCTCCCCAGCCCGCTCCCCAGCCCGCTCCCCAGCCCGCTCCCGAGCCCGCTCCCGAGCCCGCTCCTCAGCCCGCTCCCCAGCCCGCTCCCCAGCCCGCTCCCCAGCCCGCTCCCGAGCCCGCTCCCGAGCCCGCTCCTCAGCCCGCTCCTGAGGTCCCCGCCCCCGCTCCTGAGCAGCCCGCTCCTCAGCTCCCTGTTCAGCCCGAGCCCGAGCGCCCGCTGCCCGTGATCGTCAGCGGAGCTACTCGCCTCCAAGCCTTCTCGGGTCTCGCGGTGGCTGGCCTTGCTGCCATCGCCCTCTTCTAAGGGACGTGACTGTCCCTTGATCCGGCATGTCATGGGATGAAAGGGATAAAGTGCAACGATTCCTGGATTGGGGCGGTTTAAAAAATTAAGAGGGTTGGCCCTATGAGGTCTCCTGCGGGATACTGCGTGTTGCTCGATTGTCCCTTTGCTTCCCGCGCCGACCTAGTGATTTCCCTGGTTTCCCTGATTCCCCTGGTCCTCTCTCTTCCTCTCTTTTCACTCTTCGGTCCTTCGAGAATACTTCCCCCTTTTCCGTCGATTACTTAAATTTCTAGAGGATATATAATCAGATTGTTTTTGTTTTCCCACCGCGTTGGAGGAAAGGGGAGTACGGTGTACCGGTTGTTTCTCCATTGTATTTTTTGCAGGAAGTCGGACCATTTGTAGAATGAGGTGCGCGAGCTTTCTCTTTCTACGGTTGGCTAGCGGATGCAGACGCGTCGATCATCGGTTCGTTTGTTGGGCTGGATGCCGAGCTTTCCATTGTGGCGGTCCTTGGGAGGAGAGGGAAGGGAAGAGATGCAGCGGTTGGAAGACAGTAATTTTAAAACGAGTGAAGACGGCGTTGTTTTCGTATCTAGATCTACTAATACACATTGGCGGCGTTGTGGAGTGTTATCCGTTCCTTTCAAGATGCGTTGACATGGCATGACTGTGATTTCTGAATTGCCCTGACCTACTACCACCGCTGGACTGGGAATAAGATGCGAAGTATGTTGATGCCTGTGCGCTTCTAGGACGATGTGGACACCTGCTGAAGTTGGTTGATCAAGGAGACTCTGGAAGAGACCGGGCATCACATTGTATATCTGTGTGAGATATGAAGGGAAAACTGACCTCTCCCTGTCGTCTGTGCATCTCGAATCTTCCCACAAGACGGTTCACAATGCCGCCTTACGCGTAGCAGAAAGAGAGACGGAACGTAAAGGTCTACGACATATCTGTACACTGCCGTCTTCTATGGCGTAGAAAAGACTCGAGGGGTTTGGTTGAATATTCTGCAGCTCCGGTTGGGTGGTGTCTCTTCGAGTCTTCCCCCTTTTCTTTTTTCGCCGCCGTGACAAAGAAAACAGAAAAGTGAAAAAAGGGGCAAAAGGGGCAAAAAGTCTTTATTGTCCAACAACAAGAACAAGGGGGGCCGAGACAACGAACAAGTCAGCTTCAAGATTGCCATGCGTACAAAGAAACATTGAAGCAATAAGACAAAGATCTGAATATTAGCATTAAATCTGGGACAGTCTCGGGTCAAGTCGCCTCAGACTCTCAGAAAAGGAGTAAAGCCTTGCCTCTTGAGCTTGTTCGAGGTTGGGAAGCTCATACCGATATCCCCAGCCTTGTCGCGATCGAAACAGTGGTTGTTCTACGTTCTTCTCCCCGGATGAGACGTTCATTATGCATGCAGCGTCAATGTTCACATTCATTCATACTATTTCCAGTACAATCCGACTCCATACCTGGTCTCGTTTCCATGCAGCCATGATGTTCATCGCATGGAAGCACCCAGTGCAACTGTACGCTGCTGTACCATCTTTCTGAGTCCAACTCACCTCATGATGGCTCGCTCCTATATAATAAAGCAAGCACGGCAAAGACTGGGGGAAATCAGGGGACATGAAGCATCACATACTCAAACCAGGAAAAGCTCGCTCTCCCATGAGATCAACAAGCAAGCCGCCTCCCGATACGTCGACACAAGCCCATCAACCTGGTCAACGAGCCCCCCCCTTCCAGTCAGTCCGTCGCCACCCTGAACGAACCTCCACCACTCCCCCTTTTCGGCAACGCAAGCATAGAGATGTGCGGCGGAGAGAACATCTATTACACGGCCTGCGGGTGCTGGACGGGCCACGTAATCCTCTACACCTGTCCCAGGGGACAAGCCTTGGGCGGGTCGCACTGCTACGGGCTGGAGGTCGCGGGCGTGCACAGGGTGGAAGGATACTGCATTACCTGCAAGCGGCGGGCGGAGCAGATGAAAAGGGTAGGTGTCGAGTATTCCCTCGCCGCCGGGGACCGGGACGAGGCGAACGCGCGCCACGGTCGGGCGTATGTCAAGGAGCTAATTCGTCAGGAGAAGGAGAAGGCCGGGGAGACCCCGTGGCGGCCTGAGAGCAGCCAGGAGGAGAATAAGAAGCGCCGGTGGCGTGTCTATTATATGGACGCCGGGCGGGGTGGTGATGACGGCGAAGCGGAGACGAAGAAGGTAGCTGAGGCGGAGCGAGGCTCGGGTGGCCCTCGGGCGCCGCCGTCAGGCCTAGACATGGATGACCCCTTGGTGCTGTGGAAGCTGCACTACTCCCGCATTTCCGACCCCGAGGAGAAGGCAAGAGGCGCGAAGTCTGTGTCATTTGCGGGCTCTTCGGGCTCGCAGACGTCCAAGATATCGTCCTCGGAGGGGTCCTCGGAGGACACGGAGGATGAAGCGTGGGTTGTCAGGCCGCTCCGGAGCTCCAGGCCGGACCAGCAGCAGTCCCGGCCGAGGGAAGGATCGGATGAATTCTGGAACTAGTATGTTTTGTTACCCAGGAACTGCGGTCCTCGACGATGTGTCCAAGTGGGCAGTCTTCTCGAAAAGGGCGGTCTGGGGTAACGCCGCACGGTCTTCGGGTGAGTTGGGTACATATCCTCATAAATGGGATGTCGAGTCTACGACAGGTAAGTACGTAAGTCAAGGTATATATGTGGAACGATTTATCCCATATAACAAGCAGATTAACAGATGAGGCAGTCCCAGGGGTCCGATGCGATGCTAGATGTTGAAAAGTTCACCACGCTGGCGATAGCTGTGTCATGATCATAATCGAGAACATGAAGCGAATTTTGGGGGAGTCGAGTGGACTATCGTCACCATCCAGGGGCCATCATTCTGATGGGTAGTTTGCAAGGCATGGCATGAGCCTGGTGGCATAGCCGTGGTCGTCAACACGCCAGGAGACAGGTTTCATTCTCGTGGATGATGCGTCCGTCCTGTCCATGACACAGCTCTGTGTAACTGACTGCCCTGTTTGCTTGTGCAGACGGGACCTGCTTTAGTCTCATGGTCAACAGCCAACCTGCATTTCATTCACATTATTTGTTAGAGGACAGTTTATTTTGCACATACCACCAACGAGGCCGAGGAGACTTACGACGGCCAAATCCGGGGTTACCCCAGTGGGAGGTAGGAAAGGGAATAGAAGAGGTTGGTAGGCGGACAGTGGCACCAACTAGTTATTTTAGCTGCAAAGCTCCGGGAGAGGCCAATGCATTTATTAGGAGTATTTATTATAATTACTCTGTACCTCGTAATTATTTCTCTGCCAGTGATTAAGTTGGTGGTCGGTGGCTTCGGTGGCTTCGGTGGCTTCTGCTGGTTACTACACTATTATACTTCGTTGTTGTTTGCCACTACCCCTGACCGAAAAGGGGACAGTCCTCTCATCGGATGGCATCCAAGGCTAAATTATGTATGATGTTACGCTGCAGGACGCGGGGTCCTTGATCGTGTTCCTCGTCACCCATGAACATGGCCTTACTTGTGTGGCAGCGCATGTACAACGCACACCGTATTCCGCGAGCAAAAGATATTACTTTGCATGGCCAGAACGATGTGTCTTGAAAAACTACGGTACCGAAAACGGACCAGAGTGAGACAGCCCATCGGTTGTGGGGTGGATCGGATGCAGCTGAAGGATTCTCGTCGAGGTGGTTTGGGATGTACGGATAGTGTACGAGGGGGGTTACAAGCTCATCCTCCAGGAATCCTAATTAATAAAGTCCTGGGCCATTGGTGTACCGTAAAATATTCACGTGAGGGCGTCGGCACATGTGTCCGTATTATCGTGCCCGGGAAATGGTGGCGCCGACCAAGTGGTTACAAGAGCGAATAACAGACTACCAGACCCTATCACGGTTGAGAATTCTGAGACTTGTGTGTTCTGCCAGCATCACTGCACGACATATGAGCGGCGTGGACATGAACTAACGATTTTCTAATGATAGCCAGGAATCAACGTGAAAAAGCAAGCTGGCCATGGGCGACAACTGTGCGTCGGAGTAGGCTGTCTACTCAAGTCAGCAGCGCATATACTATCTACGTATTTATGACAGTAAATACCTAGGTAGACTAGATGGTAGTTGTGGCAGTACCTAAGGTAGTAGGTAATACATACACGAAATGCCGACCAGGCTTATTAATTCTTACCTCGCCAGCACCAGAGACGACTCGAGGAGGGGCCCGACTCCGGTCGGAGACATGTCTCATCCTCCGAAGCACACTACGTAAAGGTACCTGTAGTTATTGTACCTTACCTTAGTTATTGTACCTTAGTTATTGTATACCTTAGCCACTATTGTGCTCGACCTGATCGACCAACCATGGTTGGAAGATTACCGTAACGGGCAGTGTGAGAGGTTGACCTGCGAATTCAACCCCCATATGAACAAAAGCTGGAGCCGGACCCCCCGAACAAGCTCGACAGCAATGCGATATCGACCTTAACGATGACTGGCCCGGCACTAGACCCTAAGGTCGGGAGAAATAGGTACATCGGACAGCAGCCGAATAATCCGGAGGATGGAGGGACGCGCATATGCCGGACCGTTCGCGGCTGGCAAAGGGCGGACCGGTGTCTTTATGATCCAACGCTGGGACCAGTACGGACTCTGATGAGAGGCTCGGTGTGTGCATTAGGGATAGATGTATTTTCGTCCCGTTTCTCTCGTCCCTCCACACGATGATGTATGTTGTCTGTACGTACGTTGTACTACACTACACGTACTTCCTGTACGACGTATCGGTCGCCGGCGAGATCACGGCCCGGGGTTGATCGTACTATGGATTAGGTAAGGTGGGCACACCCAATTGTACTGTATCTTCCAGGCTCGAAGCAGTCCCTCTTCCCTCTTTGCATCCATCTGCCGCTCCTGCATATGTAGGTAGGTTTTGCACCGTCGTTTGTCGGAGCCTTTCACTTCAAAGCAGCGGGCAATAATAATACTTGTCGGCCAAGGCCAACGAGCTCGAGGCCAAACATTAGGTTCAGAGACAGACCCGTTCCATTCTTGTCAAGATCGGATAGAGCTCTGGATGGACCAGTAATTAATAATGTGGGGAGCAAGATCGTTGGGTCCAACATGATCAACAGTTGAGATTCGTTCACACGGCTGTTCGATGACCTTGGGTGCATGCCGATTGAGTATTTGTACGAACATGTAAGGCATGTACGAGGTATATATCTGTCTTACGTACAACGTAAAGTTGTAGAATTATACTCCGCAATTATCTCGTACAACTTCGTACGAATATAACGGCCAATACTCCGTCCGTACTGCAAGTGAAAGTTGATCTCAAATTGTTCATGCTTGATCAAGTGTCTCCAATCCGCCTCATTAATAATGTACGTCCGAATACGAGTACTTCGTACCGTTGTACATACCGCGTCCCGTCAAAGCGTCAAGCGACCAAGATGCGCACTATCGTTGCCGGATCAAGCGCTAAGAACTAAAGCTCAGCTTCTTCGGAGGACTCTTAAAGAGAAACGGGAAAGGAAGTAACTACGACGTACAACGTACTACGGACGAAGTGCCCACGGATACTGGTACCTTGTGCTGTGCAGCGCATGCAAGAGTTCCTTGGTCATAAATAATTGGGAGCTTCCCTTCCCTGCTTCCCCTTTTAATCCATCATCCACATCCCGCGATCCAACCAACCCCCTGACTACTACAACGTACATAAGGGTGCGTGTCCCTTGTGGACCTCTGGGACCCAGCAAATCGTTGTACCGTATGTACAGTGAACGTAGCTTCTATCAGCCCTTAAAAGTACCATATATCACCTAAGGTACCTTAGGTACTTTATTATTTGCACTTCAACTCGTACGAAGTAATCATTTCCAGGTAGTTCAGCAGCTTAATGTTGGTGCCAAGTACGAAGGACGAATACTTCACGTATACTTCACACATCTCAACGGGGTTCGGCTTCGTCAAACGGAGTTCCGTTTTGAATTGCTTGTGCTTTAACAACGTGTACCATGTACACGTAGATACCATGCCGTACCTAAGGTACTAAACACTAATCGGCAGTAGCTCGACAGACCCCTTTCTCTTGCTCCACTCGAATCTTCCCTGTCTACTCCGTACTCCGTGCTCCGTAGCCAATGCTACCACGAATTCCTCCTCGTCCACTCTCCTTACCACCTACCTCACCTCCCCAAACACATTCACCCAGACCCAGACCCAGGGTTCTGTACATACAGATGCGAACACAATTAATTCCCTTGTCTCATTAATTCAAGCTTTCTCCTTTTCTCTGATATTATCTTTTTTTCATTTCCCTTTTTTCTCTTCTTCTTCCCTTTTCAGGAGCTTCGACGTTCTCTTCGTCCCTTTCGGCTCCCCGTCCTTCTTTTTCCGAGGACTGACCTCAACGAGAAAAGATCTTTACCTGCGTCCTCCTCCCCGAACGGACACGCCCGCCCCACAGAGAATAGAATACCTTCTCCCTAATTACCGGGTCGAACGCTGTCGCCAATTTCGTTTTCGACACGCGTTTGGGAAGGACGACGACTTCGGCTGACTGCTTGTCGTTTCCTTTCTTCGCCCCCCCCCACCTCCCTCCCCTTGTCCTTCGTCCTACCGATTTCCCCTCATCCATTGAAACTTTGCTTTGTGCGGTTCCGGGCAAAGGTGGCTTGGCCTATATTGCTTTTCTCGCCTTCAACTTTCCCACCGGGATAATCGACGACTACTTTCTTTCTGTCCCTTGTCTCTGTGCTCGAGCTCCAGTCTCTGTCTGTGACTTTACCTGCGGTCAAAGTTCTTCAAGACTAAATAGGTGTGTTTCAACAACGTTCTTCTCCTTCGCTATCCTCTCATATCCGTGTGGCCCGCTTCTTCTGTCTCGGTTCTCGTTCTGTGTCTGGGATCGCAAGATCCCAAGATCCCCAGATCCTACGATCCAACTTGCGAGCAACATCCATTGCGACATCCCATTTTGACTGGCCCGGACTGAGAGGAAGTGGTCAGACAATTCCTTCGGTACTCGCCAGATCTGCTGTTGCGTCAGCTTGGTGCTCCGTTTGATTGTCTAGGCTAGGCCCTGGTCTGATCTTTTCGCTTGCTTGTCCGCCTCAGTGGTCACACAGGACTGCATCTTCCCCAAGGCAGTCGGTCACTTGCGTGCGCAAATACTTTCCTGTTCCTTTGCCCTCACCTCCCTCCCCCTTCTAATTCCCTTATCCTTGCCATTTGTGGATCTGGCTCACCGTTGAGCTTGGGGCTTCGTGCCCCTGCAACTGCAACTGTAACTGCAACTGCACCCAACAACACTGACTGTGCACCGCTTCATCTTGACCCGACTCTCGCTGACTCCTGGACAGAACGCAGCTGCCCGTCGTCTTGTCGCTCCCCGTCCCCGTCACCCGCCACCCGTCACCCGTCTCCGACCACGCCCTCCTTTTATGTATCCGACAGGCATTTGCAGCCTCTTTTCTTGCATATGATAGGATAACAAACCATATATCTTGATTCTTTGTGACCCCATCGACCCCATTCGGGTGCCGTCAACCAAATACCTGCCCTCATTGCACCCCCCGGCCAGGAGGCAACTTGCATTGCCCCTCCGATCTAGCCGGGTCCTCTCGCAAGAGACGACAACACGAAACGGGAGAAGAAAACAAAATGTCAAACGCTGTGCCCATCATGGCTCACATCTCCACCGCCGACCCGTCTTCCTCAAGACGACCTTCAGTCTCCCAACCTGCCTCCCGTCGTCACCCCAGATCGCGCAGCCAGAGCATATCTAGCGATCGTCCATCCACCATTATGAGCCACGGCTTGGCCTCTCCGCCTATGACTGTGTCACCAGAAGCTGCCTTCATCGCCCCTTCCGCCGCTTCTCAAATCGTCACCAATGACCATGATAGCCATGCCGATACCTGGTACGACCAGCATGGCATAGAGCCATCCGGCCAAACCGTCTTGGTATCTCCGAGCGCCCTTCAGCTTGTCAATGACTTTCTCGACCAGCTTCTTTTCAGCTTCCTCCAGATCTCTCGCTCCACCACTCTCGCCGCTCTTCGACCGGCCGTCTCCGAAGTTCTCAAACCAAAACTGGCCAAAGACGTCATTAATAATGCTGACGAGGAATTGCGCGAGTATCTCGGTGGCGCCGACGAGGAAGACTTCCTATCGACCGATGCTTCCCAGGCCGAGCGCGACTGGGACCCGGAACTCGTGTGGAAGCGCACGCGCTTGAGGTGCATGGTGTACTCCTCCCTCGGCGACATGGAAGAGGAGGACGAAGATTACTACACCGAACACGAAAACCTCGAGCCCGGCGTGGACGAGCGGCGATCCGACGCCATCTCTCCCGCGGTGGCTATTTTCCTCACCTCCATCCTCGAGTACATGGGCGAGGCCGCATTGGTCGTCGCCGGCCAGGCCGCCTGCCACCGCATGCAGACCGCCTTCGAAAAGGACTTGCGGGACGGCGTCAAAACCAACGCCGACGTTGCCGACCGCATTGTAGTCGAAGACTTTGATATGGAGCGTGTTGCTCTCGACAGGACTCTGGGTCGGCTCTGGAGGGGCTGGAAGAAGCGCATTCGTTGCCCCGCTCCCGATACGCCTCGGTCTTTCTCCCGCGCCTCCTTTTCGACCCATGGCCGCCAAAAGAGCTTCGTGGGCGAGACTCCGTGGTCCGCTAAGAAACTGCCCGATGCCGAAGAGAAGGCAGAGGCGGAGCCACCGACGGAATCCAAGGACGTGAAGGGGGAAGAAGGCCCAGCCGCCGTCAACAGCAGGGTGGAAGACTACGTCAAGGCCTCGGCCATTCCTTTACCAGTTGGCCAACGCGACGTTGATGAAATTGAAGTTCCAGGTCTCGTCTCATACAGCGACGATGAGGAAGACGCCAATGGCGAGGATAAGACAATCCAGGAACGCAAGATCCGGAGGCCGAAGAGCCTGATGGTATTCTCGCCGAGACTCGCCGTCGAATTGCCCCCTAGTCCGGCCGTGTCTCGACCTGGACCTCCACTAGGCCCCATACCATCCGCACGCAAGCGATCGGTGTCCTTGCCGGCTCCGTCGCAGTTTCTGTACGCACCACCCTTGGCCAAACGTCCGAAATTTGAGTCCACCTCTTCCGAAGCCCCCGAGCAACGCGAGTCGGCCGCAGATGCCGAGAAAAACGAGGATATCACCCTACCCCAGAAGGCCGGTGACGATAGCAAACGCGCAGCCGATACCCCCGGGGAATCCAAGGCCGCCGGAAAGTCGGGAGAACAAGAGCAGAACGATCGAGCGCCCGAGATTCGAAGGCGCAGCTCGAAACGCCTCTCCCGGTACGCAATCGGTGCCACCCTCGCGGGCGCCACTGCAACCACCTCCACCACCAACAATGGCGCTACCGCAAACCGCAAGCCTGAAATGGCAACAGAGGACGGCGCGGGAACCCCCGCAGCTGAAGCACAGAAGGAGGCGGAAGAGTCCTCCGACTCGGAGATTGAGGAATTTGACGAAGAGCCGCAGATCCTCACGTCAGCAAGGATATCATATGCCGGTCGCACTTCGCCAGCCGTCTCCATCTCCAGCAAGGGCTCGTCTGTCAACATCAACACCAACTTGCCAAGGAGGACTCCCAGTGTGCATTCCGCCCGCGTCATAGACGTCATTGGTCCCAAGAGCCCCCTTCACTCGAGACCGCCTTCGACCGAGCGTGACGAACGTGCTCGCCAAGTCGGTGTCGACCCCCCGCCGACCGTTGAAGAGAAGGCAGGACCGGCAGGCTCCGTGCCAGTGCCGCGGCCTGCTGGCGATCGCATCACGCCGAAGACGGGCACCAGCCTATCCATCTCCGCGTCCGGAGACGAGGTAGAAGGGCCTGCCGCGCCGCCGTCTCCCATGTACCATGCGCAGGGCATCGCGGAGCTGCCCGCGCAACCCATATATGGCACGGTCGTCCGACAGCCAGCTTCCACTCGGCACGAGAACGGCCCTGCCATCACAGCAACCCTCTGGAACACATCGAACCCGTCGGCAAGGACCGCAAACTCTAGCCCAACCTCCTCTCCTGCCAAGGCTCAGCAGCAGCAGCAGCAGCAGACCACTCACGCCTCTGGTGCTTCCCCACGAAACCTTACCAGCCTCAGTACGGCCAAACATGGTCAGTCTCCAAGCATTGGCATGATATCGGTTGAGCGACATTCCCCCAGCACGGAATCCCCGGAGCGCACACGCCAAGTTTACACGTCAGGCTCGTCGGCCTCTTCGGGTACCGGAAAGCTCAGGCCCGTCCGGACGTCGGAGGAAAGCAAGAATTCCCATCGGGGAGACCATCTCGCTCGTCACTTCGACGAACTCATTCAGAGCGATCAGACAATCCAATACACGCTAACTCCGGAGCACATGCGTAACATGACGGTAAGGCTTCCCTCCTTTGTTCCACGCGTTCCTAGTCCCGTACAAGGCTGACCCTTAGGTAGTCCGCGCCGCCATTGCACAACAGCGCCGTGCTGCCCACACGACAGAAAGGAGTTGATGACGTTCGCACGACGAGCAACGGAGATTGGTCTCGATTCGAGGCCAACGCGACTACGAGGAAGCCAAGTCTCCCAATTCCAGAAATGAAGCCGACGTCAGCACCAGCCGCCGGATACGTGCCGAAGGCGCCTGTAAGCACCTCGAGCAAAAAATCGAAGCCGGGCGGTATTCAGCCCAGAGATGCCCGGGTGCCCCGTGAATCCGTCAATGACTTTGCCGACTTCATCCGGTCTACCGGGCCAGCCGTGGACTACAGCCCAGCTCCTCTTCCCCTGGTGAATGCAGAGCAGGCGCGTTCGATTAAGCAGAACACGGACCTGAGGCGGTTGGCATCTCTGAATAAAAACCGACCTCGACTTCAGGCCCGAGATGCTGCCGTCGACAGCCGGGAAGACAACTCGGACTTGATCGATTTCATCCGCAGAGGGCCCCCGGGGGCGCAGAATCACCGCATCCCACGCAACGTAGCCCCTTTCCGGAGTACCATGGACTCGGACCAGATGGCGGGCGCGGTCGGCGGACGAGCCGTCGATGCCACCCTTCCGGACACTCGCAACAGTCAAGCCTCCACAAGCGTAACGGACACCACCATGACCTCAGCGCAGTCGTCGTCCATCAATTCGCAGAGCGCCCTTCTCAGAAACGACAGGCAAACGGGTGTAATCGAAGAGGAAGACTTCATGCCCAAGCGCACGAGGCCTCGCATCCGTGATCCTTACGCGATCGACCTGACCGACGAGGAGGATGAGGATGACCTTGACTTGGCCGTCAAACCGCCTCCTAAGCGTGAGGAGAGCTTAGCCGAGTTCCTCCGAAACTACGAACCTCCTCCTTCGGAACCGGCGCCGACACATATGGTTGCAGCTCCGAAGAAGCCGAAGAAGAAGGCCAGCGCCCCGAGCCTCATGGGTCGGTTCTCTCGCAGCTTCCAGGGCAGCAGCCAAACCAGCGCCAATCACGGCCCCGCCGGCCCTCTGGCAACAGGCACGGCGTCCCGCAACGGAAGCCGCACTTATATCCCCATCCAGGTGACCATGACTGGCGCCAATGACAACAAGTATGCGCCCGTCGACAAGGTGCCGACGACGGCGAGCCAACCACCCAGCACACGGTCCTCGGGTCGCGTCCTGATGAAAAAGTACGAGCCTCGCGAGGCGACGTCGTCGGTTACCCGCACCAGCGACCTGGCCGACTTCCTCCGCGACTCGGAACCGCCCCCGCAGATTCCGACCTCCATGAGCGCCTATAGCAGAGACGATGATGCTCCTTCCAGCAGTAGCTTCTCTAAAATGTTTAGTCGCCGCAAGAAGTCGGCTGCGTTTTCATGAGCTGCTCATGGAGTGTTCGGCCCGCCCCGCTCGGAGATGGCTGGTCGGGGATGAAGGAGATGCACGACTTTTTGCTTTTTCCTTTCTTTTTCCTTTTTTTCTTTCGTTTCTCTACGACCATAGATCGCAAACACACATCAACCCTTGTTCTCTCTGGTCTCTTCATGGCAGGTGTATACACATTATTCCGACTTTCTTCCGGGTCGTCTTGGGCGAACCGGTGATTTCTCTCGATATGCGCCACGGGTCTTCTTCCTTCTTTTTTGTCTTCTTTTGTTTTGTTTTATTTACTTTTTATTTTCTTGTCATATTTCTTGTTGCAAAATGGCAAGTGATGTCCTTTTTTTTTTGTCGCTTTCCATCTCCATGTGTGTTTTCTTCGCTGTCTGTTTCTGTTCATATTTTCTCATCTTCGTTCCTTATAAACTTATATGTTCATATTTTCACATATTTTCACCTCTTGAAAAGCAGAGAGGCTAGTGGAATCGAGACGAAATAAATCATCCTTTCCTGATTGAGAAGATTGGGGCAATGATTTCCATTACGATTTCAGACCCGTCTGTCCTATCTAGCAATCTAGCCTTGAGATAGAGCCGACCTTTGTGTGATCATCACCATAACAGAATGTCTTGGTAAAACAAACCCCTTTGCCATTTTCCTTCATACTATCCATGGGTCATAGCGTCTTCACTTCAAGAGAAGCGTACCAGACCGTGATCCACAAGCTCAGAGCAAGCAATTGTCAACTTGATGACCCCTCAGAAAGAACCCTTGCGAGTCTGCAGCCCGTTTCTTCAGGGGCAATGTACAGCATGACGGGGTTTCTTGGAGAGAGCAAAAGAAGACCGAATGGTCGTTTACCAGGCACCGCCGCCACTGTTGAGGAGCTCCTGGCCAGTAGCACCCCAGCCGTCGTTGCCTCCACCCTCGGTATTGCCGGCATAATCCGCCGCAGCAGCCTTGGTCGAATGAAAGCCATCGTCGAAGTCGCCCTGGGAGGTGGGATTGGGGCAAAGAAACTTCTTGTGGCCCATCTCGCCGCACTTGAGGCACTTGATGCGAGACACTTGACGGGTAGAGGGCGAAAATGTCAACACAAGGGTCTCCGAAAACACTGCATGCGCCGAGGAAAAGCAACTCACCATCTTGAGGCTTCGGACAATCCTTCGCCACGTGGTCAAACTCGTCGCAGTTGCGGCACTTCAAACGACGAGGTTCGGTGCACTCGGCTGCTTTGTGACCCTCCTGGCCACAGTTGCGACAGGCGAAGCCTCCACCACCCTGGGGGCAATCACGGGAGAAGTGACCCACTAGATAGGAGTAAAATGTCAGAATCAAGCCACGATGCCATTCATTCGAATTGACCAGTCGGATAACCTACTCTCGTGACATTTGTTGCATTCGACATCAGCAGCATTGCGAGGCTCGGTGCAATCGGCAGCCTTGTGGCCCGACTGGCCGCAGTTCTTGCATGCAAATCTGTCTTTGCGAGGGTTGGGGCCTATGTTTAGATACACTAGTCAGTGGTCCTGTCGAGTGTCGAACGCCGACCATTTTTGTAGGACTAGTTAATGAGATGGGTTGGGGGAACTTACAATCGCGCATGCGATGTCCCTCCTGCTGACAGTTGAAACACATGATGACCACCTTGTTGGGTTCAATTCTCTCCTCGGGACACTCCTTCGAAATGTGGCCCATCTCCTTGCAGTTCATGCAGCGAGGGACGAGACGAGGAACGGGCTCTCCGGCATCGGCGAGACGGGCGAGATTCTCCTGGGCGTCTTTAGGCCAGAGAGCTTGATCACGAGGGCGGTCGGGCTTATCGTGGAAGCGGAAAGAGACGGCAAACGTCTTGTCCATGTTGCCCTGGAGGTCCATGTTCGTCATGGTAGGCAGGTGGGGACGCTCCGTGGCAATGCACCAAATCTTCATGTCCTGGTTGCGGAGAGCGTCTTCGAGTTCGACGTAGGTCATGTCGGGATAGTGCTTGAGGTACATTTTGAGGGCCTCCTTGAAGTCGTGCACGTCTTTTTCGAGAGCAGCAGCACGCATAAGTTCCCAAGCCTCCTCAGCATCCATATCGGGAACATCGCTGTGGTCAATCTTGCGCGGGTTCGTGCAGCTGGCGGCTATGTGACCTATGACATTAGGGGGAAGAGAAACGAATGTTAGTGGGCGATAGGCCACGAAGAAGAAAGAAGCGGGATGAGTATATTAGGCTGGATATAACTACCTTCCTGGCCACAATTGCGGCACTGTTGGGCAGGCTTGTTCGGACACTCTCGGCGCATGTGACCCTGCTCGCCACAGACATTACAGACCATGGGCTCGGCATCGGGACAGTCACGACGCATGTGTCCCTCTTTGCCACAGCCGCGGCAGGTCATGATTGGGGCGTCAGGGCATTCGGATTTCATATGGCTAGAGAAGCAGGCATGTAAGAGGAAGTTTCAGCGAAATGAGAGGGGTCAATGTTCGTGCATAGACAGGTGCCCCAGGTGCCCCAGGTGCCCCATGAGGGAAAAACGGAAGATGCAGAGCAAGGACGGAACATAAGGTAAACATACCCAGGTTTGCCGCAGGCGAAGCAGCCACGGTCGTCAGCAAGTCCAGAGCCTCCATCATCGCCGAAGCCATTGTCAAAGTCGCCGGCATTTTCATCATTGGGCTTGTTCCCACCAACCGGGGCGGCCCACTCATCGGCACCACGGGACGTGGTAACACCAGCATTGTCCTCACTCAGGGCCGGCTGGTCGGAGATAGGACCCCGTTCCATCTGGGTGGGGGCACCGGCATCCCAGTTGTTGTTGTTGTTGTTGTTACCCCAGTCAGCCATATCGACAGGATCAGAGCCCTCTTGGTTTGGCGTTGACGGGTCTTGGGAGTGGCACCGATCGGAGGTCTTGATTCAATCAAGAAGATATGACAGATGCAACTGATACTTGTACAAGTTAAGTTAGTCGAGTGGAATCGAACAGAAAGAGAAATGAAATCTCTAACAGAAGATAAATCTGGCATTAGATGAAGAAAAACGAGGACCTGAAATCGAAGGCATCTTGACGGGCAAGGTAAAAGAAAGATCTAGGGTGTGACGGCCTCCAACATAAGGTAGGGCCAGATGCCTAAGGTACTCGTCCAAGGTACCTTACTGTAGGTAAGGTACCTTAGACACTGGAGAAGAGCATCTGGGGAGACAGAGGGCAATTGCCAATGCCGTGTAAACGGAGATAGGCAACCGATGTCTCTGTCTTTCCTTCCCTCCGCGCCTCGGTACCTAAGGTACCTTAAGGTAGGTAACCATTAAAGGTACCACCTGAAACCGGAAGAAGAGGGAAAGTGCGACCAAAGAAAGGGCAGAACAGGTAGAATGGAAGGGGGGAAGGGTCAGAAAGGTGCAAAGTAAATGGTCCAGAGGAGCGGGATCAAACAACGGGTAAAGGTAAACAGCAAATAAAGAAATTATAAAACATACCCTTCTCTTAGCTGTGGGACAACAAGGACAGAGAGTGTTGACCTGGCTCTGGCTGCAAATATGATCTAGAATGCAGAATTCCAGATGGCGAGAGCTGATGGAGATGGAGGAGGGAAAAGGAAGAAGAGACTTGGAGACGACGTTGCCTGGCCATCTTGGTTTATATAGAAGCACAGGGTTCCCGTTGAGGCACAAAATCAGCCGCCGACTAAGCGGATAGTGATTTCTAGTTCAGGTCGAGAGCGGAGTGACGACTCGTTGTGGTGACTTTGTTGGGGCTATTGTTGGCGGTGATGTGATGGCTGGCCGTGATGTTGAATACCACCAAGGAAAAAGGGCAGACTGGTGTGTGTGACTGCCCAAAGAACTAAGACGTGGCGATATCCTATGCGGTGATATCCTATGCGAGCCTGCATAAGAAACCTGGCAGACAAGAAAAATTGAAAGAAGGTCAGAGGTTCATGCTTATTATATCCTGGTTTGCTTACTGTGCCTTGAATGATGCTTTGCGTAAAAGGATAGCCATAGATAGATACCTTGACCTTGAAAACCACCATAGTTGTTATCCTCCCCAACCATGACGCATTCTCCACATTAACAGGTGTCAGTGTGATTCCCTCTGGGCTAGGCCGTAGGTGTGTGCGTATGTTGTGATTCAAGGCAAGATGGCTGCTTAGGCTGACCCTCTGAGACACAAGCAGTCCTTCTTTCTAGGAACAGGATCTTAGGCCTCCAGTTGGGTTGCTTGATGATGAAAGGCAACCCTCAACTATGGTGTTCAGAGAAATAGGAGCGTATGATAGACGAAACCAAATGAGCTCTTCATAAAGCATCACTTGGTCGTAGAGTAATCCGAAATTGTCAAGAATTCATTCTTGACCACAAGCGTAATCCGGAAACTCGCTCGGCAGGCATCTGAAAAAAAGAGAAGAAAAAAAGGACTATGGATGCAAACCAAAATTTAAACAGCTCCTTTATTGAGTGAATAGAGATTTGAATATCCTATTATCTAAGGGCATAGGCGATGTTTGCCTACGGAGTAAAAGGTTTCGTTGAACTGGGTAGAAAGGAGTTGTATCGAATCCTGGACATCGTAGTATCTTGTGAGGTCAGATCGCCGCGTAGCCTGCTTATGTGCGACAGAACTCAGAACTCCCTGTTTCGATAAATTGACATAACCGGCTTGACATTTCAGTCGGAACGAAGAGAGAAAAAAAAAAGTAGGACTTGGAAGCTGGTGGCTCTATAATGAGAGCAGCGTCAATCATTGCTGTTGTTTTCTAGCGACGCCAAGGCATGTCGTTGTCTCCCTTAGTCAGCCATTTGGTTTCTTTTCCGAGTTACGACAATACATAGGTACATTACATAAGATTCAGCGAGGGGGGCATTAGGTAATTGTTGGCATGAGAAACACTGATACGGATAAAGGTACGGGAGTCGAGTCTCTCTTCCGGCTCCGCTCGACATTACGGAGTAATACACGTACTGGCATACTTCGTTTCTCATACCTAATTACGGGCAATTAGATGTTTCTCCCAGTTTCCGTTGAACATTCGTTTGCTTACAAATCAGGCACCGTGGGGCAACAGGTATCAGGCTGCTCCTACCCCGCCAAATACGGGGTGCGAGTGCGAATGCGCGTGTGGGGACTGAGCTGAGCGTTGGATTTGATAGCAACTGCCCCGCATTGCCAGAAGTCGATGATGCCAAACGCAATCGCAGATCCCAGTCGTTGCTTCCTTGACGATATAGCCAGTAATTACGTGCTTCAAAACAAGCTGCACTAGTACAATTAGTGCTGGATGTAGTGTACGGCGTCCATTCCCACGTGCATATTAAATCTCAAGCATCCACCCAGTGGATTTAAAAGCCAGCGTCCAATTCCCCTCTCCTCGTTTCTCAAGTCAGCCAGCTTTTAATCACTGCAGTCAATTCGCGCAAAGTCTCATACAGTAGTCATCATGTCAAAGCCTGAAGATCTCCCTCCCATGGAATACCGCTTCCTGGGCCGTTCGGGACTGCAGGTTAGCGCGATCAGTCTGGGTGGCTGTGAGTTCTCCCTAACTTGGAGACAGACGTGGGAAATATCGTTGGGTGAAAATTTGAATTCATGTTAACGGCGGGACGATTGAAGGGTTGACATACGGTGGCCACGTCGATAGAGGTATTTTACGTGTTCCCTCCCATTTCCAGGGCGTCTCGACTAACAAGTCATGTAGAGGGCACATTCAAATGCATGAAGGCTGCTTACGATTGCGGCGTCAATTTCTTCGACACCGCTGAGGTGTACGCCGATGGCGAGAGCGAGAAGGGTACGATTGTGGCCTCATCTTTTCATAGGTGACCAAGACGTGCCCCGTGCCTACAAAGCTCGAAACATGGCCGCTAACTGCCCCTTTCCCTCAGTCATGGGTGAGGCCATCCGTCGGTATGGATGGAAGAGGAATGATCTTGTCATCTCCACCAAGGTTCGTTTTGTCTCGGTATCGTCTCATACCCTGAGTCTTCTACTGACCATAATTTTTTTTCAGATCTACTGGGGCGCCGCCTTCGGTGACAACCCGGTGAACAACAAGGGCCTGTCGCGAAAGCACATCATCGAGGGCATGGACGCCAGCTTGGAGCGACTAGGTCTCTCCTACGTTGATCTCATCTACGCTCACCGGTTCGTTTTCCCGCCCTTGCCCCTTGCTTCGTACCCGCTCGTATCCTGACCTCGAGCGAAAACCCCGCAGTCCCGACCGTCATACCCCCATGGAGGAGACGGTCCGGGCCTTCAACCACCTTATCAACACGGGTAAGGCCCTCTACTGGGGCACGTCGGAGTGGAACGCCGACGAGATCGCCCAGGCCTGGCGCTACGCCGACAAGCTGGGCCTGATCGGCCCCGTCATGGAGCAGCCTGCCTACAACATGCTGGAGCGCCAGAAAGTGGAGCGTGAATTCGCCCACCTCTACCGCGAGGTCGGACTCGGCCTGACCGTCTTCTCGCCCATGCGTCAGGGCATCCTGTCCGGAAAGTACCGTAACGGCATCCCGGAGAACTCGCGCTTCGCCAAGAAGGAAGAGATCGACTTCATCAAGAACTGGTGGGATCGCGAGAACGCCCAGAAGACCTTCCAAGAGGTCGTTGCCAAGGCCAATGCCGTCGCCCCCATCGCAGACAAGCTGGGAATCAAGCAGAGCACCCTGGCTCTCGCCTGGGTCCTCAAGAACCCCAACGTCAGCTCGGCCATCATCGGCGCCAGTGGACCTGAGCAGGTGTACGAGAATATCAGGGCCATCGAGGCCCAGAAGCTGCTGACAGACGAAATCATGCAAGAGATCGAGGAGGCTCTGCAGAACCAACCGGAGGTTGTCACGCCGAGATTCTAAGCCAGGGAATTATTTTGGTCGCACATCCCTACAGGGATGAAAAATTCTAGAGGAGGCAAGAGGGTCAAGTCACTGGAGCGGCATCCATAGAAGTCCTGTCCTAGGAAGAAAGGCATAGGACACCTGTAGAATCCTTTCTGCGAGATCAAAGGGAGAGAGAGAGGAAAAGAGGAAAAGAAAAAAGAAAAGTAAAACTCGATCCAGCCCGCACCTTGATCTGGGGCAGACGGACCGAGCACCTCAATGGATGACAAAAAGGGCCCTGACACGCGCAATGCTTCTGTCAATGGCCTTTCTCGGCCTTTGTAAGCCGGATTGCGTTCTCGAAGTAATTCTGAGTGCCGCCGTACTTTTCAACGATATGCCGTGCATCGACGCTAGCAGCGGGGGTGGTTCGCGTCCGCCCCAACAGCGCACAGTTCCTCGTGCTCGGGATCCTGAGCATTTCCGTCTCGACCTTCCAACCGCAGTCCTCGGCAATCTGTGCCACCCAGTCCACGAGGGACGAGTAGGCCGACTTGGCCTTGGTCTTGTCCCTCGGCGGCGGCGCTCTATACTTGGCACCGCCCAGGTTGTGACTGCAACAGGGGATCATGATGAAGGGGGATTCGGACAGCGTGGCCAGTATGGGCGTCCACGGCGTGAGCTCATCGGCGTGGTTGGAGATGATGAAGGTGCCTTTCGGGAAACACCCGTCGTGGAAAAGCGTGGGGTCCATGTCCATCTCCTCCGGCGCGCCGTCGTCTCGGCTTGCGGATGCAAGGCGTTCCGGCGACGCGAGCGTAGGCAAAAGGACGAGCCTTTTCAACGGCTCAGGCTGATCCGGCGAGAGTTCCTTCCCGTAGGCCTCCCAGGACTTTCGCGCTCTGGCGTCAAAGCCCCATCCGGGGTACCCTTCTCGGAGCAGGATATGGACCAGCAGACCGTTGCCGCAGCCGATGTCAACGAACCCGGGGAAACCAGACTCCTTGTACATGTCAGACCAGAGTTCGATGAGGAAAGCAGCGATGCCGAGATCTTCAAAGACGTGTTTTTGGGGGTCCGTCGACTCGGCCCACGTGTCCACCAGGTCCTTGGCGTACTTGAGCTTGAGAGCGAGGTACCTATCCTGGAACCTGGCCTGCGGGACGACCACGTCGTGATGTACGCGCTTGGTGTACCCGGCTTCCTGGCCCTGACCATGCTTGTGTAGGATGGAGAGGAGCATGAGTGCCGTCCTTTCCAGCTTCTCGCCATCTACCTCAACATCCTCGAAAAGCCAGTAGTGGAGGGAAATCCGTCCTTGGTTGGTGTCGGCATGCCATTCGTGCATGTGGGCCACGCCGCGGACCTTTGGGTGATAGAAGGGCATGCGTTCGACAGATGACTCGTGAGGCAGGTAGACGACCAGGGAACGAGTCTTTTGAGGCTGGCTCGGTTCGCGATGTCTAAGGAAGACGCAAGTCTGGTCAAGCGGGCTGTCCCTGCGTGTATTCCTAGGCATCATCCTCCGAACCAAGGTTCTCTCGACCTCAAAGTCCATAAATTCGGCGATCCGTGGCACTGTACGGGGTGACTCGTCGAGATGGGCGCCATTCCCGTCACCCGGTGTTTCAACCACAGCATCGGCCGCCACGCCAGAATGAGAATCGTACAGAATGTCTGCGCGGAAAAGCCATGCCGTGTTGAGGTTAGGGTTCCTCACGAGGTTCATCATCACCTGGTCAAAGATCTCGGGATTGAAGCTGCAATCGTGTTCGAAGTACGGCACCCAGACGGACCCTGACACATCATGGATGAGAGGGTCCGCGCCAGGCGCAAAGGGCGTAGGACTGAAAGACATTACGGTCGAAAGGAAGGGAAGTGGCCCCTGGAAGTCGGCTGGACTAAATGCGCACTGCGACTGAAGAGTACGTACCGAGTACCCTGGATGATTAGTAACGCCGGGCCCTGGATGGATCGGAAAAAAAAAATGAAAGAACACACCCCCCCCCCCCCCCCCCCCCCCCCCCCCCACCCCCGGCGAACAGGCTAACTCCTTTGAGCTAGCTTCATGTGTACGTGATGTACACGTACAACGTTGGAGGTGCCGCGTCCCAGGGGTTGTCACGCTTGCGGTCTGTGAGTGGGTCGCTGGTTTGTTTACTTTCTCCGGGGGGGCAACCAACCAAACAAGACCAACGACTTGTCCGACATTCGAAGTCTCCTCACGATTATGAGGAATCGTTCTGCTACCTACCCGAGCTTTTATCATCACCGGTTGGAACCCATGATACCATCATCGTCTCATGTACGGAGTACTGACCGACAACTCCTTCTCATCTCCACGTAACGGCCCGTCTTTCCACCATGACCGCCGAAAACGAGAACCTACGGACGGCATCCCTCTACATCAACAATCAGCTATTGTCTAGAGGTCTCCTTCGCGATGGCCAAACTATTGATTTTGCGAATCCGGAGACGAATGAAGGGGGAACCGAGACTACCATGGGTCGCATCATGAACATCGTCAACGACCTCATCCTCCGCCGAGACGTGAGTCCCTGCCGATGCTGATGAAAAGGCCAACTGCCGTCGGCTAGCGGATCACTGACCGGGAACATATAAATCTTCACAGCGCGACGCCGAACAACGCGAGTCTCTCTCCGCGACCTTACGTGCCCTTCGCGCCGAAAACCTGCGATACGCCAACGATATCAGCCGCCTGACCGAGAAGCACGCTGAAGCCAGGCGCAAGCTCGAAATCGCCGAGGCCTCCGAATCAGCCCTGCGCAGCCAGCTGAAGAGCGCCGACGCCGCTGTGCGCGGTCTCAAGGAGGAGACGGCGCGCGCGAAAACCCTTGTCGCCCAGACTCGCGCCTCATGCGCCACCGAGGTGCGCCGCCGTGACCGCCAGATCGACGGCCTCAAGAAGCAGCTCGGCGAGGCCGGTCGCGCTCGCGGGGCCGCCAAGAACCCCACAGTTACTGTCATCAACGTTGTTGCCGACGTTGGCCAGGAGGGGATCTCCCATACACGCGCCGGCGCCGGGGCTACCGCTGAGCAAAGCTACGATCTGCGCAGCGAGACGAACGAGTTCCTGACCGAACTCGCCAAGAACCTCGGCGAGGAAAACGAGGCGCTGCTCGCAGTGGTGCGGAGGACGCTCGCTAAGCTCAGGGAAATGGGCGGCTGGCAGGAAGGCCACGCCGTCGGTCAAGGGGACGGCCATGCGCTCACGCTACAGAGGAATTGCGCCGAGTTGGAGAGCGAGATGGAGGCCATCCTCGAGCAGATTCGGACCATTCTCACGAACCCATCGTTCGTCCCGATCGAGGAAGTCGAAGTCCGAGAAGAGGAGATCAATAAACTACGCGATGGATGGGTCAAGATGGAAACCCGCTGGCAAGAGGCCGTGCATCTCATCGACGGCTGGCGCAAACGCATGGCTGCCAACGGCAGGGGTGTGAACATGGAGGAGCTCAACATGAGCCTCCGCCTCAGCCCCGTTAAGGTGCGCGACGTCGAGGAAACGAACCGAGCCGCAGCTCTCCGCCTGTCTTGTGTCGAGGAGGAGCGGACCGAAGATCTTGAAAAAGCTATGCGGTCGTGGCCCTGCCGTGGCGCAGGTGGGACCGGCAACGAAAACGAAAACGAAAACGACGACGAGTCTCTCCAGCTTGAGCCGGCGCGGGAATACGACGTGGAGGTTCCGGGGGATGACAGCGAGTCCAGTATATACCAAGATGACGATGAGCTGGACGATTTGGAGCATCTGGACGACCTGGACAGATGCGAGCCCAACGTTGAGATTCTTCAACAATCGACCGCGTACCTCAGTTCTCCCCCCTTACCCCTTCCCCCTCAACTAAGCCCGCTCAAGGACTCGTCGTCGGCGGGCAATCGTCGTACCCACGATATGGGGCGCAAACAAAGCAAACCCACCGGCCACTTCACCACCATCGCCGAGGAGAATATTTGGGACCTCGCAAACGACGACATCTCCTCAGAGCTACCATCTCATCGCACCCAGCTGCCCCGGTCACCACAGAAGATAGACAGAGCCCCCTCTTGTGAGCCAGAAGAACAACCGCGGATCGTCTCGGCCGCTACAGATTCCTCGCTCGACGAAATTCTTCTCGTTCGGCCTCCCTCACCCTCCGGGCCGCCATCCCCGTCTCCTGCACCAAGACAACGCCCTCCCCGCAATATAGAAACCAAGAGCGTCGGGAAAGCAAAATGCAAGAAAGCTGAATTCGCAGACAACGTTCAACCGCCATCAAGCGGGTACCCTATCAACAGAAGGCGCGACCCTTCGACCGAGGAACGCCGTGTCGCGAATACCACAACTACCGACAACGACGTTCCCCCACCCCCGGCAGCTCCCGGCACGGCTCAACAACAAACACCCAGCACCCGGCCCGTTTCCTCTTCTCGCCTTCCCCTGCCACGTCCCACCAATCCTCCTCCCCAACAAAGCCCTCTCACCATGGCCACCATAGCCGCCAAACTGGCCGCATCGGAGCGCGAAGCCGACGCGGCGCGGGTGCGCGCAAAGCTCAAGGCGGCCCGGGGGGTGCGCGGCAAAGCGACAACAGCAACAACAACAACAACTGCAACAACTGCAACAACAACACCCAGCACCAACTCCGCGGCGCCGCAACCTACCAAGACCGAAGAACCCCAGCGGGTTCCGCTGTTCTCTTCGGCAGGGGACGCCCAGGAAGACGTGGACCCCGTGAAGCGGTCGCTTCCGGAAGCCCGACATTCGGGGGCGGTAGGAGATGGGTCGAGACGACAAGAGGAGCAACAGCAGCAGCAGCAGCAAGTAGTGGAGGGGCAAGGGAACCAAGGGCAGCAGACGCTGCCGAAACAGCGCAAGCGCGAGAAATGCGTCAACAAAACCGCTTCACGGCGGAGGAGCACACTCAGCCCGTGGGAGATGCAGAGTTTGATTTCGGGAGACGTCCCTGTCCCTGTCCCTGTCGCGTCACCTGCACCGTAGTAATGAAGATTATTTTCGCCTCCTTTCATTTTTCTTCTTCTCAAACGAAAACCCAAATGAACAATGGCAGTCAGATTGTTCAACAACCAAGCGGATGGATAGGATGGGACGTGTCTTTTTTCTAGGTTACAAGCAACATGCCCGGTTAATGCAACGATAGAGCAGTTTCATGGTTTCTTCTCAGATTCGCGAGGGATGCTATTATCCGATCCCATGTCACGGAGCATCAAGCCAGAGGAAGCTGGCAAGTATCTCTCACCAGACCAGATGGCAATCTTGAGCATCCGGCTGGTTGTGGAACATGGTAGAACGGCAGGACAGCCTTTTGGGACCCGAAGCCTTGAGGGTTTGCTGCCGTTCGACCTTGCCCTTGTTGACAGGCAACCACGCCGCCCCCCC